AGAAGTTGATCATTAAACTGAACAAATTTGAACAATTGTAACCCCACTCGAATCTGGGTTGATGCCTGGGAAGGTAAACCTGAGAGGCAGGCACATTGCTGATAAAACTGGCTCTGAACTTTTCCGTTTGCCAGATAGTGTTTTAAAATGTTATTGATGATGTAGGATGCGTTTCTGACACAGCACTCGTTAATGGATTAATTGTGAGACATAATCTCACTAAAGAGCCCAAATTGCTTCTTGTGTTGTATGATTTCTCTTATTCCCTTAGGAATGTAGAAGGATTTGCCCTGCTTAGGAGCACTGGACGCTGCACTTCAGGTTATGCAGCTTTTAGATAAGCTGGGGAAGGGCAAAATGCTCTCCGATGATTCACACAATCTGATTTTCATCTTGTACCATTTTCTGATGTAACTCATGGTGCTGCAGTGGATTTGCTTGTCAGCTAGTTCAGATTAAGTGAGAAAGTGGGAATTAGGTCCAGAGATTGCCTGGATGTGATTCTACTATCTTAAGGTTTGTGCAGTAATTTACACCATATAAAGCTTATTTTTTAAGAGCTGCTTTCCAGAGGTGGGTGAGATAAATAATGTCCTGCTTTCATTTCTCACCTTACAATTCCCTTTGCTTTTTAAGATTCTCAGTGAACCAAGCGAGTCTGCGGGTGCTTTGAAATAAATGTCCAGCTCTGCACTGGGTCTCTGCATGGAAGTGTTTGTTTTTCAGGGAGTATTGCAGTATGAATGAAAGGTATTTTTCTTTCTCATAGCAATCCATGAAATCAGTCCATGCATAATATAGTCTCTACTTTGAAGGGTTTTTAGGTCATTGCTCAACTTGGCCTGGACTTAGTGTCTGATGAAGGGCTGATAACGTGCAGTTAACCTGCTCTTTCCTCCCTAATAATTAAATAACATGAAAGTGTCTCTGATTAGTTGGTGAATTGTTTGCACCAGTATGACTTGAATCAGACTTACTGGAGTATCTGCACAATGCATACAAAAACAGCAGTCTTGGCACTGGAGAGAATGGGGACTTATTCAAAGGGATTTGTAGGCATAGACTGGGAGCAAATGTGGGAATTGTTCCTAAATACAGTCAATAATCAGAGTTTTGTAATGGGAAGCAGCACTGCATTTTCACAACCCAAACGTGCAGTGCTGTCTTGTGAAGAATAGTCCAGTAATTTCCAGTCCTGGAAGGTGTCCTGCTGCAACAAACTGTCTTGAAGGTCTTAACTCTGGCTGTGCTGTGCAAAGAGTTGGGGAGCAGGAGGGCAAGGACAGCCCTGAGCTCTGCTATGCATTCTGCCAAGGATTCAGATAGCCTTTGCTTTGTTTGAATTGCAGTGTATTGGTAACAGGTACTTCTGGCCCTTCAGATATTGCAGCTATACAATCCTTCTGCCTTTTGAGACAGGCTGACAAACTGGAAAGAGCTGTGATAGTTGCAGGCCAATATGGAGATACCCCATGGTTCTCCTAGTTCTGCTTGATTCCACACAGCTTACATAAGTCAGGTTAGAAAGGTGCACTTGAAGGGTATGGAAAGAGGTTCTTACCAATTAAATGCTCATTGATGACCCATGCAAAGCAAGAACTGAGCCCAGCTGGGTGAGACGGGGCTGCATCTGCTCACAGTTGGCAGATATAAGACATGGTGGAGGGCAGTTTCTTAATTGCTCATTGGAGTCTGGAAGGCTGCAAGCAACAGGGAGTTTGGTTATGGGCTGTCATTAAAGGAGCGCATCAAATTAGTATTTACCCAGCCCTAATGAAAATCTGTTAGGAAAATAGTCAGAACAATTAGAGTAATTCATTGGAAGTTGATAAGCCTGTAAGGGTTGCAGTGAGTCATCATTTCTGCAGCATTTTCTCATCTGTTAATACCAGTGGAAATGTATGAAGAGCTATTCAAAAAATCCAAGCATGTGCAGGATCCAATATCCTAGGAATTGGTCCTATCTTGTGCCTCTGTGGGAAGCTCTTGGGCACCTTAACAGTTTGAACTATGAAAGGTTTGATACTTTAGCTTTGAGTGAGATACATTGTGAGTGATAATCCCACTTAGACACTTCAGGTCTGAAAAAGGAAGATAAAACGTGTGCTTTCAATGTGTACGTGTTTTCTGTAGGGAAAATCATCAGATTAGCTAAACTTCCTCTCCACAAGTGACAAAGTCTTTATCTGGGCCTGGCGCTGCTCTGTGATAGGGAGCAAAGTCCAGTCTCTGGTATCTGACACAGGAATTTGGGGCTGCAAAACTTGAAGAATTGGTTGTAAAATATTTTTTTTAAATAAATACTTCCTGCAGTCCACATCAGAATACTTGGGATGGCTTTGGTTTTACAAGATTTCAGAGGAAACATTTTCTTCTGTCTTAGCTATTTCTTACTGTCAAGAAGGTTTTCTCAGTTCTGATTTATGTTGCCCCTGTTGTTCCTAAAATCCTTATTCTTGGCTTAATCTGCAGAAAAATTACACAAGTAACCAAGCAGTTGGGGTCAGGAATGTTAGCAGGTTCCCTGCATGTCCTGCTGCATAGTAGCTGAGCACAAAATGGGAGCTCACTTGTGTCTGAGTGCTGCTCAGACGTGACGCTGCTGTTTCATGAATGAGAAAGGCAGTCAGAATGCTCTGATGTCAAATGTCACAACATCACGAGTGGCTGCCGAGCACATGCAGCTGTAGAACTCTCCCTGTTAATGCCAGTGCCAATAAAATCAAGCAGTGATAAGTGTGCTTGGAAATGTCACCCTCCAGTTCTTAGATGTCTTGACAGTGACAGGGTCCATAAGCAAAGTAGGGCGTAGGAAGGCACAGAGAAGAAAAAACCCTCTGGCACGATGAAACTGTAAGATTCAGGAGCTGTAGAAACCCTACGGGCGAATCTTGTCTCTGTTGGCCTAACAAGAAAAGATGTATTTAATGGACATGGTCCTAAGGATCTTTCATACACCTGGGTGACCTTCTTTAAGTAGGCTTTGCATGGTTTTGATAGTGGGAATAAAGCAGAGAAAAAGGCCTCTGGGATTTACTAGAAAGGGGAATCTTAACAATGTTTAGACATCTCTTTTAAGATTTAAGGTCAAGTCTTTATGTTTATTTCCAAGGCCTGGCCTTTCGTGCTTTGGCCATTTATTTTACAGAGGTAGAAGTACTTTTGAGATCTGTTTGAGAAAATAATGTAAGCGTTGCATATGTTTTGCATTATAATAAGTGCTCCAGATGCAAATCCTTGAGTTTAAAGCTTCTGGCCAAAATCTTTAGTGATAGAAATCTGCAAATAATAGCAGGAAGTAGCTGTTGCTTGAAAGCATGAGGACTAGTGCTGCTTGTATTTTATCAGTGTTTGTTGGCACTGTGGTGTTATTTCCATGGCAGATCCTTTCCCATCACAGAGGGTGGTGGTTGTACCTCCAGTGTCCTCCAGAGTCTACTGAGCTTTGGTATTTGTGCATACAGATAGTGGGGTGGGGATTTACAGTGTAATGACTTGAAGGAAAGAGGGTAACGCAGGTGAAACTGAGAAATCAGCTGAAGCTGTGGCTGGGATGTAATGTCAGGTCTGGTGTCTGCTTAGAGCTTTCCACCTTCTTTCTAGAGTGACATCAATTTGCTGAAATGTCGTCTTTGCTCCCAAGCCAAAGCAGAAGAGGTGATAGGAGAACTGGAGGCTTGGTTCAGGCTCAGCTCTGCTATTCGTAAATCAGTCTCACGCGTAAGAACTGCCTTTAATATAGGGATCCTGCAGCCAGGCTTCCCAAATACATTAAATCCTTCTCTTAGAGCACTAATAATACTTAATAAAAGTTTTATGAGCAATGTACATTTTAGAGTAAATTTTCATATCCATTTTCATTTGAAAAAGAACATCAAGGAGCAAATGTGTTCATGCCAGAACAAAGTAATTTAGTAGAGTCACAAAAATGGCAAAGGCCCTCTCTGAAATAGTAGGAGAGCGTTGATTAGGCAAAGCGACAATGGGGATGGGATTCAAAAAATTAATTCAGCATGAAGGACTTGAAAAGGAAGAAATTTCCCATGTGCCAGCTAAGCATATTTCTCTGCCTGGAAGGGTGGAAAGAAGTCGGTCTCCATAGTGCAGCCCCACAGAGCCTTCTGGAGCTGTGCATCCGGACTGCCCTGTGCAGATGCTGACCTCAGGGAAGTATCTTCTGAGGCTCTTGGAGCACTCCTTAGGACCAGTGTTAGCTGGTGTCAGTGCAGATGAGATTACTCACGAGTATCGGGGAGCAACTGGAATTAGAAACGTCAGAACAAAATTGGATGGGACCCTCTGCAGCCTGCTCTAGTGGATGCCAACACTGTCTATGGCAGGGGGGTTGGAACTAGATTGTTTAATGTCTAATCTTTGCCATTCTATGATGATTTAGCTGGTCACCTCAGGTGCTTCCAGGACTACTGAGTGTTCTCACTTCTTAGCCATCTGTTTTATCTGATCCCTGTCCTTCCCAGAGTGTGGTACTCAGGTGTGGAACTGAAGACACCATCCCATCTGAGTCACTGCAAAGACTGCGTGTCTGCTGAAGATGCAGATGTTCATTTAATCCAATCTGTTGTTGGAGGAGAGGTGTTACACCTGAAGTCATCTTGATAAAGGGAGATTTGAAGTAAAAATTGAAAGGTCAAAACAATTCAACTATTTAACAAAGGCCAGCCACCCTATTGAGATGTCTTCTTTCCACTTGAATTTGCCAAATAACAATTTTTGGATGTATTTTTCAAGCATCTTTATAAACAGGAACTATTTCAAAATATCACCACAGCTTAAAGAAGTGACTTTTGTCTCCTGAAAGGAGAGGTCGTCATCAAGTCACTTGTGTGAGTGTGCATTTCTGATGGAGAAGACCACCTGACTAATGGAAGTTGTCAAACACTTCACTTTGTCACTCTGTTTTCTTTGGGGTTTGAAGTAACAGCATTAATAACAGGGTGAACCCCGTCATTCTCACGCAGAAATGCTTTTGTGTCTTGCAGGAATCTTCTTTATGTCTATCCTCAGAGCCTTAACTTTGCCAACCGCCAAGGATCTGCCAGGAATATCACTGTGAAAGTCCAGTTCATGTATGGAGAGGACCCAAGCAATGCTATGCCGGTGAGGGGAGTGCTTGGTGCTCAACGTGAATGCTTTGTGCCAACAAGGCAGGATACACATTGCAGCCATAAAATCTCTGTGTTAAAGAAAACTCAATGGAATACACTTCCAAATAAATTCCAGGAAGCATAGAGTCACAGTGTTTTTGAACCCAGGGGGTGTTTGTATTGGGTATGCAAAGTAACAATATAGCACTTGGTATTTTGACCTTAGATGTTTGCAGTGGGACTTCTGAATTCTCAATCATCCTGATCTTTGTTGGCTCTGTCTGGGGATGGTTACATGCATCATCAGTTCCTTAGCTCTATCTGTGTGCATGTGTGAGCAGGACTATTAAAATTGTAAATCTTCAGTGACTGAGTAGAATAGAAGCATAGAAGCAAAGGAGTATGTAACATGTTGGTGTTCTACACAGCTTCATGGAATAGAGCTGTGAATGGGATTATGGAACAGACTCGTGGCACCTCTCTGTGTGCTATTTTTTCTTCTTTTTTGCAGGTCATCTTTGGCAAATCTAGCTGTCCTGAATTTTCCAAAGAAGCATACACTGCTGTAGTATATCACAACAGGTAAAAACTATGGCAGTTTGTAAATGGAGATGGGTCCCTAAGGATAGTGTTGTTCTGCTTACCAGTGAAACAGTTGTGGAGCTCACCAGTGAATCTTCCTCATTGACATTTACTTATCAAAGACTGTCTGCATAGCACTTCCATCACCTGACACCTTAGTTGTAGTTAGGGTGATACAATGAGTGGGAGCTGGAGTCTTTGTTTGCTCTGATACGTGTCAAGAGCATTGTGTCAGGCAGTGATCTTGAGCATTTAGCCCAACTCAGCAGATGCTCTAAGGATAAGCTTCAAGTTAGACCTGAAAATGTATGATATAAACACTCGTTAGCAAATACTTTGCTATTGTGTTGAGTAATTAGGTATTTAGAGCTTTCTAGGATGTAGTTATAGATTAGAAATACTTGGTCTTGAAAATTATGTCAGAGCAGCTCAGGTAAGGAGTACTGAATCTGACCTTAACATACTGTCTGTCTCTGTGGCTGTTCTGGAGAGAAAATCTTGTCCTTCAGGTTGGGTATTGTGGCATCAGGGAAAAGTTCATTGCCTCATGGGGAGAGATACAATTCAGAATGCCTGTGTGAGGAGGCACTGCAGCCCACCAGGATGCTGCTTGTATTATTTTTGTAGACTGGAAATAAACTATGGAAGTTTTTCCAGTCCTTGATGATTAGAAGGTAAAGCTTTAAATTCCTTAGAGTATTCCTTGTAACTCCTTCCCTCCAGATAGTTTAACTCAAAAGACCTGCAGCACAAGATAGAAAACCACACTGCTTATATTGATGACTAAACAAAGGGTCTGGTTTCTGCACAGGTCACCTGATTTTCATGAGGAAATCAAGATTAAGCTTCCAGCCACTTTAACAGATCACCACCATCTGCTTTTTACTTTCTATCATGTCAGCTGCCAACAAAAACAAAACACTCCCCTGGAGACTCCAGTTGGATACACCGTGAGTGTCCTTCAATCTCTTTTTCAGCACAGGATAATATTCTGTAGATGGATAATGCATTTATTTGCAATTTTTTAGTCATAACTGTCAGTGTATACCATTGTAGAGTTTGAGACAGTCAAGCTTGTGGATTTCAGTAAAGCCTTAAGAAGTTTGTATTTTCATTTCTTCTTGTTCTTCAATTACTTAAAGTGGATTCCGATGCTTCAAAATGGACGGTTAAAGACTGGTCAGTTCTGTCTCCCTGTCTCACTGGAAAAACCACCACAGGCATATTCAGTGCTTTCTCCAGAGGTGAGTAGTTTCTCACATTGAAAATCAGCAGGAGAATACTTCCTTTTTTTAAAAAAAAAAAAAAGAAAAAAAGTGAGAAGTATATGTGCACTTATAAGCTTGTGTGTGCATGCATCTGTATTTCCTAAATGCTAAGTATAGTTGTGTGTGTGTTTGTGCACAGAATCCTAGAATGGCCTGGGTTGCAAAGGAGCACAACGCTCATCAGTTCCAACTCCCTGCTGTGTGCAGGTCGCCAACCAGCAGCCCAGGCTGCCCAGAGCCACATCCAGCCTGGCCTTGGATGCCTGCAGGGATGGGGCATCCACAGCCTCCTTGGGCAGCCTGTGAACAGTGCCTCACCACCCTCTGGCTGAAAAACTTCCTCCTCATATCCAACCCAAACCTCCCCTGTCTCAGTTTAAAACCGTGTATGGTCTGACAGTAAAATGAAATGGCAACTGTAATGAGAAGTACTGTAGCTTTTCTTTCTGTCACATCTCCGTTCATCCTTCTGCTCACCTGTAGGTTCCACTTCCTGGAATGAAGTGGGTGGATAATCACAAAGGAGTTTTCAATGTAGAAGTTGTTGCTGTCTCATCCCTCCATACTCAGGTAAGCGTTAAGATCTGTCGTTTTAATAAAAAAATCTTGATAATCTGTTGGCAGTTGAAACACTGTCAAAGAGTTTGTAATGAAGAGTACAGCAATTACAGTAGTGAAATTACAATCTCATTTTCAGTTCTGAGCCAGCAGACCTGTTATTCCACATTCTGCTGTGAGTATATCTGAGAAGTTCTGCTTAAAAACATGAATGGTTTGGCCTTTATTCACAGGGGTTGAATGGCCAACAATGTTTTCAGACCTTTGACTGTTGTTTTAAATACAACAGATCTAACATGCTGTCCAAGCATATGATGTTTTCTTGTTTTTCCTTTTCCTCCCTGTCACTTCTGTTTCCATGTGTATTTTTTGTCTGTCTTTGATCCACAATGAGAGATGGCAATCGTTTTGAACTCATTGTTTCAACTTTTAGTTCATTAATTCCTCGTGTGTCTTTTTGATGGTTTTTTGATGTATTTTGTTTGTGCTGTCAATAGTACTATGACTTCAGTGCATTTCTGTCTGTTTCTCTAAAGAACACAGTCTGTGAGTTCACTACTTTTGCCTGAACGCTTTCTGAACTGGCTCACTTAAGCTGAGGTTAAATAGGCAGAGCTCTCACAAGTGTTGACTTCCTGGTAATTTTGTGGAATTAAATGTCCAGATAGAAGAGGGGAAAGAGAGAATCCATCAATGGGGACGAGTCCATAGAGAGCGGTGTTCATTTGGGAGCTTCTTGCTGATTTCTGTTCTGTGCTTGTGTGTAGGACCCTTATCTTGACAAGTTCTTTGCACTTGTCCATGCTCTGGATGAGCACATGTTCCCTGTGCGAATAGGAGACATGAGAATTATGGAAAACAACTTGGAAAATGAACTGAAGAGCAGCATTTCAGCTTTAAATTCCTCTCAACTGGAGCCGGTAGTGCGATTTCTTCATCTCCTGCTTGACAAACTGATTCTTCTGGTAGTAAGACCTCCTGTCATTGCAGGCCAAATAGGTATTCTATTTAAGTTTTATAGAGAATTACATAGCTGAGAATTTGACACTTCCAATGTTATCATATTTATGTAGAACTAAATAAGTCCATTTTTATCCTTTACTTTAGTGCCACTGATAGACCATGCATCTTCAAAGTAAAACATTCTGGCATCCAGACCAGTGATGATATACACAGGAACAACATTCAGCATGAATAATCCCTTCTTTTGCTCCCTGTTAGGGGTTTGCCTAAATGGCCTAACTGAGCATTTAATTAAACTTCTCAGAAAGGAAGCCTGCAATTCAAACACTGGTGAGGAAGTTGCTGATGTGTTTTCTGAACACACCAATATACAGGGAGGTGCTGACTGCAGAGAGGAAAGGGAGATGTACTGACATGGGGGACTTTGTAAACCAACTTACATTAGATTTACTGTTTCCAGCTGCAGTCTGCTTCATCCCTCATTTGTTTAAAATATCTGGCCAGGTCCTTGTGTGGATTTCTATGCTCAGTTTTTTGAACAGAATGTTACTTGAAAACAGAATGGAATTGCTCTTTTTCTCTTTGTATTTTGACTGATACTTAAATGGAGCCAAGAGTTAACTGAGAAATGTATGACAAATATCCAGAGGGCATCAGGTAAACCAGGATATTGTTACCATTGCAAACTGAGGGGCCAAAGTTGGTCTGATTCCAGAAATCAAACCTAAATTCATCAAGTGTTATTAAAGTAAGAGGAACTGCAACACTGCAGCACCTGCCTTCTTGTCAAGTAGACCTACTTTAAATACCAGCTTCAGTTTTTCTTGAGAAATGCTTGCTGTACTCTAACAAGCTTCACCATTTATCCTTTAGAAAGTGGATGAAATGCATATTCAGAATTTGTGGGGATTGCTGAAATCTAAAACAACTTTTTTTTCTTTTTTTCTTTTTTTCCAGTAAACCTGGGCCAAGCATCTTTTGAAGCAATGGCTTCAATCATAAACAGACTTCACAAGAACTTGGATGGAAACCAGGACCAGCATGGCAGAAACAGCCTTCTTGCTTCCTATATTTACTATGTCTTTCGCCTACCAAATACCTATCCCAACTCGCCATCACCAGGTAACTCTTTTTTCACTTTATTTCAAGTCACAGTTTGTTAAAAGCAAGCAGAAAGTGCTTCCTGGCAGATGCTCTGAGCTCCAATTGCATGACTGGTTCCCTGCCAAGTCCTGTTATTAACTTTCTCTGCGATGCAGTGTTGCCATTTAGATGATGAGTTTAATTACAGTTAGAGCCATGTCAAGGATTTAACTATTCAGTGGTCTCAAAGTGCCATTACTGAAAGAACTTGAGGTGAAATTATGACAAAATACTGTTCTATGTACTTTGTTTTGTGACAAATGGATGGGATACCCTGTGGCCTATCCTGCTTCCCAGACTCTTTCATTAGTACTTTAGGACTTTTATTCAGTTCCAGCAGAAGTTGATGCGCTGGCAGTGGAGTCTGAAATACTTAAATACAGATGTGTACAGGAGGGAATCACATTGATTCTACCTCTGCTGAGAACAAGAAAGGCATCTACTGGAATGGAGATACAGAAAACCAGGCTTTGGAAGGCCTGTTGTTCACAGCACTTGCTTCTTGCATGGAATGGAAGGCCTCTGAGGAGACTGGAAAAGTTGTGTCCTTAGAACTATACTTCAGAATTCAGTGCTTTACTATTTCCACTCTGTGATCTGGCTAAAGGCAGACCTCATGCTGGCTGCCTGAAGCCACAGGGAGCTTCCTGCTTCCCACAGATCACAGAATAAAACAGCATGTTGATCCCATCTCCCAGCTGCTAACCTTGGAGCACCAGGCAGGGGAAGCACGGGAGATTTCCTTACGGACCAGAGCTACTGATTATGCAAAGGTTTTGTAGTAAAAAGATGTAAAGCAGGGCGGGATGGAGGCTTTGGCTGGAGGTGCAACAAGATGTTCTTTGTATGGCACTGTAGGTCCCGGTGGCTTAGGGGGATCGGTGCATTATGCCACCATGGCTCGATCTGCTGTCCGACCAGCAAGCCTTAACCTGAACCGCTCACGGAGCCTCAGCAACAGCAACCCAGATATATCTGGGACCCCCACCTCACCTGATGATGAAGTTCGCTCGATCATTGGCAGTAAGGTACAAATGCACAGCCAAGGGGCTCGGGGATGGCAGTGTCTTTTATTTCATATCTAAAGTAATGATGGGGAAGTTCTCGTGTTTTATTTCCTATCAAAAGTTGTCCTCACTAGCAGCCCCATCTCAGGCTTATTCTGGTGGTTATGGAAAACATGCCTGATACTCCTGAAAATTACTGCTTCTGTCTCTGATTTATTAGAGACCATCCTGCCAGTATTACTTGCATGGGTATGATGGCTGGGGCCGGAGTCCTTCTGGACTTGCCTCCCCAAGACCAGTAAGACAAGGACAGCTTTCTTCTCACTTCTCACATGGCCAGCAGCTGTATCCTCTGACTAGCTGTTATGTCTCCCCAAACCTTGCATCCCCTACTTTGCCACCCTTTGATCCCAGTGTTACCTCCCAAACCAAAACTCTCTCTTCTCCTCTGTGTTCAGCACTAACAGCTGCTCAAATGCTCTCTGTGTTACTTATGTCCAAAGCAAGTACCTTGCACGCAGCAGACATATTCCATGGCCAGAAAGATTTCACTTGGTTAGCAACTGAACTGCAGTCTAGCTGCAGTATGAATTTTTTATGTACTCACTCAGCATCCACAGTGACTCCCCACCTTTATGGTGGGCAGACCTCATTGTGGCCTTCTAGTACTTGAAGGGAGCTATAAACAGGAGGGGCAACAGCTGTTTATGAGGGTGGATAGTGATAGGACAAGGGGGAATGGTTTTAAACTGAGACAGGGGAGGGTTAGGTTGGATATGAGGAGGAAGTTTTTCAGCCAGAGTGTAGTGAGGCACTGGCACAGGCTGCCCAAGGAGGCTGTGGATGCCCCATCCCTGCAGGCATTCAAGGCCAGGCTGGATGTGGCTCTGGGCAGCCTGGGCTGCTGGTTGGTGACCCTGCACGTAGTAGGGGTATTGAAATGAAATGATCTTTGTGGTCCTTTTCAATCCAAGCCATTCCAGGATTCTATTATGATTCTATGGCCTTTGTAACTTTCTGAAAGTGGCTTTTCAAGGAGTGGGGGCAGATTAGTACAAAGCATCTGGTGTGGTCTTACTCCAGCTCTTAGGTGCTCTGGGTATATGTGTGCATGTTTATGGCATGGTTTTTGGAGTAGATTTTCTTAACCTCAGTTATGTTGTCTGTTCTGGGAACATGGTTGTCAGGGCTTTCTGCGTAATCAGTATAGAGAAAAAAAGCTTCTCAGCAGATGATTTATGCCACACAAGGTCCAGAGGAGGGCGACTAAGATGATCAGGGGGCTGGAGCACCTCCCCTATGAGGACAGGCTGAGGGAGTTGGGCTTGTTCAGCCTGGAGAAGGCTGTGGGGTGACCTCATTGCAGCCTATCAATACCTGAAGGGAACCTACACCCAGGAGAGGAGTAAACTCTTCAGAAGGGCTGACAACAGCAGGACTAGGGGAAATGGATCCAAGTTGAGGGAGGGAAGATTTAGGTTGGATGTTAGGGGGAAGTTCTTCACAAGGAGAGTGGTCAGGCCCTGGAACGGGCTGCCCAGGGAGGTTGTGGATGCCCCGTCCTTGGACGTGTTCAAGGCCAGGTTGGACGGGATCCTGGGCAACCTGATCTGAATGTGTGTTTGGTGGCCCTGCTGGGCAGAGGGGTTGGAACTACATGATCCTTGAGGTCCCTTCCAACCCAGGTGATTCTGTGGTTCTGTGAATCACCTTCTCGTCCCACTCTCGTGAGTTCTGAGTATGTAGAGCTGCTGCCGATACTTTGTAGGTATAAAATAGGTGACATGAGGCAGGACAAACCTGTGTTGGTAGATCTGTTACCTGAGAGGAATGCCTTAGTTCATTTTGGGCTCTTTTTTAGTGTTTGAACTGAGACAGCTTGCACCGAGATGAGACACTTTCCCCACCTGTGTCCCTTCCAGCACAGATGAGTCTGATCTTTTGATTTGATCCTTCTGGCAAAATAGCAGCCATCAGCCCCAGCAGACAAGCTTGACACGATCCTGGGTTGTATAAGGGAAAACTCTTTGAGAAAGAAATTTATCTTTGAGAAATTAATAGTGACTTGCTTTTCTGAGCAAATAAGATGCTGAAGTGACATGAATAGGCAAATAGTTATTTGTTTCATCGAAGTTTGGACTTCAAAGGCTTAAAATCTTTTAAAGACCACCTCAGTATCGTGCTAATTTATCAACTGTGACCTTTTGTGAAATGCCATAGGCAGTGATGTGCACATGGAATTCACACAGGGTATCAGAAGTTTTACATGTGCTGGCATAGTGAATAATGTCAGAGTACAAAATGAAGAGAAATTTTGTTCTAGAGGTACTCCAGGCTTTAAATATGCAGATATATCCATAATTGCTGATGGGGAATTTTTTTTTTTTTCATGTTAGCCGGATAGTATCAGAAATTAAGCTTGGTCTGACTATACAGAATGTTGGTTTAATGTAATTGTTTCTGTTTCTTAATGTCACTAGAAACACAAATACTTCCTGAGATGCTGAAAGGAGTACAGGGATGCATAAATTTCTGTTCTCTTTCTCCAAGCAAAAATTTAAGCATATATATACCCAAACAAGGAGCTTATATTTCACATTGAATCTATCTGGAGTCTTTCTGCTTTTAAAAAGAAAAAATAATGTGTGGTGGAACTCTTTAGAGCTCAGTCTTCTGTTGTTTCTTACTGTAATGTGTTTGATAGTAAAGTTGCTTTGGGTCTTTCTTACATCAGCATTGTGCTTAATTCTGAGCAGTCAAGCAGTCATCCCCTTCAAAGGATTTAGAAGATTTCTGTGGTTTTGCATAATAGAGGAGGGTTTAGGTCTTGTCACTTATTTTGCCTTCATTTGTGAACTGAAGCCATGTAAATTTTATTCCCTACTGAAGAGGATTTATTAACTGTCTATAAAGAGTATGTTGAGATTTTTATGCTTAAAGTATTCCTGAAATGTTGGGGATGTGCTGGGAAGAAACAGAACATTCTGAGTGTCATGGCTCTGATGATGGATGTTCACAGATGTGCATTCTGTGCCCAGCTGCAGGTTGAACCCAGAAACAGAACAGGATTTAACAAGAGTTTTGTGCACTTGGAAGTGACTTACCAAGCCAGAGAAGCTCTTGCACTCTGTTATCTTCCAGAGAAGTATGAAATGAAGGAATCTCTTCAGATTTTTACAAAATCTGCTTCTGTGAATATTGGTTCTGAGGCTAGACATGTACAGAGGGCTGTGATTAGAAAGCATAGGAATGAAAAAGCAAGTGGGAGAAAGGCATTTTCAGAATGAAACCTTGCTTCACAAAAGGTGAACTCAGTTCAGCATTCTGCAAAGTTCTTTGATATGAACTCATTGTGAGCAAAGTAAAACATTTGTATGGATCTACGCAGGATGGAGAGGTTTGATTTATTATTTCCAAAAAGTAATTGAGATTAAAGCACTCATTCTGTCTCTTCAGTAGATTTTTATTGGACAACTTAAGCAAAATTACAGCGTGGCTATACTTTGCATAGAGAATAGCTCGATGTATTAATGATTTGAATCCCAGGCTCAATCCTTGGGTAGATTTGTCTTCATGAGAGAAACAAACTTTTAGGCATGATGGACTTTGCAGTTGATAATCTTTGTGATGAAATAGTCTGCACCTTTGCCTCACATACTGGAAAAAAGCTCTGGGCTGGCATGGAAGCTGGGATAAAAGCTCTCTCGGGTGAGGGTCAGAAATGATGTGTGACATTTATAGGGAATGTCTATGGCATTGCACAACTGCCTCCGTTAGAGCTGGATCCTGAGACCCATCAATGTCCACTGCATCCCACTAAGTGTTCCTGACATAGGAACAGCCTGGATGACAAACACGAGTTTGATTTTTTCATTTTCTTCATTCTGAGTTTCTTGAGAGGAGAAGAGAGTGGAGGGAGAGGAGGGATCTGCAGTAATTTTGCACATATGATCCACTGAGACTTAAAACTGAAGGACAAATGAGATAAATCTTTTCAAAAAAGCAAGGTAATTTTTCAAATGTTTTGTTTGGCAGAGCAGATTGGTTCCAGAAAAGGTATGTCCTCTTTTCTCTGTTTGCCACAGTGCCCAGAGGAGATGGCCAAAAGTCCACGTGGAAGCTTCTCCACAGGTTACTCCACCAATGGTGCAGGATTTTTCCTCCATGAAAACCTGTGAGAGCTGACAATTGGATCTCTTTGAGTTTCCGTAGCATTTCCATGGGATCTGTAGAGCTTATAGTCTGTGGGCTAGCAAGTAGTCTACCTTATGAAAAAGATCTGAGGAAAAACTGAGAGCATTCTTTGTTTTTCACATCCGACCACCAATTTGCTTCTGTCACATAAAAAATTTGGGCTGGCTCCATCTACTGAAGTGGATTTCAACTGATAGAAGTGGGATTTTTCAGGAGGATGATAGTTTTTGAATGTCAAGCATTACAGAGAGAACAGGTTGGACTGGAATATTGATGTGGTGTACATGTGTGATGAGTTACAAAAGTAAGCCTCTCAACAAATGCAGCTTTAACAGTTGTAATTGGCGATGTGTTTGCAGTGCACCTGTTTGATTGCTTTTGAGGACTAAGATTTGACTATTGTATGGCATGCAACATGTAATATTTCTTTCCTTTCCCAACTGCTTTCTATTACATGCCCAGGGTTTAGACCGCTCCAATTCCTGGGTAAACACTGGTGGTCCAAAAGCAGCCCCATGGGGATCCAACCCCAGCCCAAGTGCAGAGTCAACACAGGTGGTGTCTTCGGTAGAGGTTTTTCTGGCTTTGTTTTCTCTGATGTTTCCCTGTAGAATATCCTCAGTGCATACTCTGATTTTGGTGGTTTGCTTATTTATTTACTTACTTATTTAATTGCTCTTTGTAAACTTTGAGTTTCGTTTTATGAATCAGCATCTTCTCCCCCACCACCTCACTGCACTGCATGACAAACCCCAAAACTTGTGAACGTGTCCCCTTCTTTCATTTCAGTGGTTGCTGGTCTGTGAAATGTAAATGCTGTGACTGCTTTTCCTTTCTTTTTTCTCTCTTTCTCTCTAACACTAGTTTCAGCTTCAGGTGGAGCACATTTCTAAATGGGAACATCGATCACAGCCTCATAGTTTTGTCCATGTTTGCCATTTCTTTTAATGTGAACCATTTTGCCATTTTCATCAAGCATTTAGTATTCATAGTCAAGTAATCCTTCATGTCTGTTTGAGTGGAATATTATTAAACCAAAATTGATACACATGTAAAATTCTCTCTTGGAAGGTGTAGATTTAAATGCTGGAACCAGTGATTCTCTGGGTCCAATTGTATCTGTTCCATGTTGCAAAGTATGAAAACTTTATAGCAGCTTTGGTCAAAAAGACTTAAGTTATTTTAGCCCCCATTGCCTGCTGCTTTCCACTGCATGGTTGCCTTGAACATACCTCTCAACTGTACTTCCTTTCAAGTTTGCCACTTTTACAAGTATCCAGTCACTTGTACTCCTGCCAATTATTACCACCAGCAGTAAATTAAGTGCTTTTCTTGTTCTCTGTGCCAGTAGCAGTGTTACATCCGCACGTACTTGGTCTGGTAGAGTGAGAGGTATGGCACTGAAATTACAAGTATTACTTCCTTGACATATGCATGTTGATAAAATAGAGTGATGAAAAGGTTTCATGCTTTGCAGCACTAAATGTCCTTGTGCATAAGAACACGCAGTTATTTAAATAGCCTATGTGTCTTAAAACAGTAAAAAGTTCTGTCATGTTGCTTAAAGCAGGTCTGTAAATGAGTAAGACTTTGAGAATGCATAAAAAGGTGTAAAGGCAGTAAAAGCCTACAGTTGGAACAGTATTTTTGTAAACGTACGTTGTCCTTGAGCTGCAAAACCCATCCACAGCAAACTTTAATGTCCTGTCATCATTCATTCATCTCCACTCCGTAGGCTACGGATCGAAGTTGTAATCGTATGTCTTCGCACACTGAGACGTCAAGTTTCTTACAAACATTAACAGGACGGTTACCAACTAAAAAGGTAGATTTCAGTGAAGACAATTGATGTTGTGGGGCAGGGAGGTCAAGTCATTCTGAAAACATCTGTTTTATCTATAGCCTGATTCTTTCTGAGGTCGTTAGGAACCGCTGCTGCTTAACACCTCTGAACATCCAGGCTGTGGTGAATGTGAGGTATTCTGACAGAGCCGAATTGGGAAGAATAACATCATCAGGAGTAGCTTGTCTGATTTAATGTCCGTGCTGTTTGGAGCCAAAGTATCTGTGGCTTTAAATTAAATTACGGATAGCACTGTCTAGACATGTAAATGACACATCCTTGTGTGCAAAATTACAGTGTGTTAGATGGTTGGCACTGCAGATGTGTTCTGAACTCAGGGAGGTAGGTGTTAATCCAGAGTGACTCCAGAAAGTGGGAGGGAGTTGCCTTGGAAGTGCATTCCCTTTAAGGAGATGAGATCGTACTGAACAACATCAGAAAGGCAAAATGCCAGAGTTCTGTGTGAGGGAAATGTGGTCACTGACAGTGTCCAGCCTGTGGATTGGTACTCCCAAGAAAAGAAATCTAAAAGCTGATTCTTAGCCCCACGTTTCTTTCTTACTGTTTTAAGTCCTTTCTCACAGTAAATGTTTATCTTTGTACAAATTGCTTTATATGTCCACTTTTTACTCCTTTTTCCTGCAAAAATCAGACCAGGCAGAAAGGTAGACTTTTAAAATAAATTAATATGAGCACCAAACCTTTTTTTTTTCCTTTTGGGTGGGTGGAAAATCCTTTTGACACTTGAAATTCAATTTTGAAGCGAGATGCTTTGGAACGTTTCTCACATTCCATATCATGACATCATCTTTCATTGTTAGTTGGGGATTTCTTTAAGGAACCACCACTGCTGTCATGTCCTCAGTTATTATTTTGCTTAATCTCATTGTTTGCCATACTTTCCATGGACCGTGCTCCCATTTCTCATGCAGACTGTTTTGTGAGCTGCTGCTGAGGCTTGGACTAACTCTGGATTTGCTTCTGTGTAGCTTTTCCATGAAGAGCTGGCCTTACAGTGGGTCGTGTGCAGTGGGAGTGTGCGGGAGGCAGCCCTGCAGCAGGCCTGGTTCTTCTTCGAGCTGATGGTGAGCAAACTGGGAGCACTTTGCTTACTGCTTTAACATTCATCATTTAAAACACAAACAGCAACAACCGAGTCTCCATCCTGCTTCATTTCCACGAGTGACTCCACTGTAATTTATATTCCTATAGGTGAAGAGCATGGTGCATCATTTGTATTTTGCTGACAAACTGGATGCTTCAAGGAAGAATCGTTTTCCTGAGCGTTTCATGGATGATGTAACTGCTTTGGTCAGCACAATTGCTGGTGATATAGTCTCTCGGTTTCAGAAGGTAATGACAAACAATTAAAGTGAGCTCACATCAGAGCTCAGGCACCAGACCCCACTGTGTGTTCTTTGCTGATGCCTAGAGCAGGAGTTTTCATTTGAATTCACTGTATTGCTCTATTACTGCTCAGCGTGTTCTTTGTCATTTTCCATTTTTCTCTTCCTTCTCTCCAGGATACAGAAATGGTTGAAAGGCTCAACACCAGTCTTGCATTTTTCCTCAACGATCTATTGTCTATCATGGACAGAGGATTTGTTTTTGTTCTTATTAAGACCTGCTACAAACAGGTGAATGCAGATAAATGTTATGACTTAGCTGTGATCCATGGCATAACTCTTCTTTTAGACAGACAGTGAAGTATGGACTTAATTTGCTTGTAAAAACATGACTTGTATATACATCTTGTACTGCTATGTGTGCTGTTATTGGCTGGGAGGCGTGTGACTCCTGCACATCAGAAATTGAATCTGTAGCACAGAGAAGTAATGTGGATGGGGTCATGTAATGATGTCAAGTTGTTTAATTCATGCTTTGGAAGCAGTTTTGGGAGCGGTAGTGGGGCAGGAGAGCCAGTGCTGCATTTGTAATCTGCTTTGGTGCTAACTGCAGTCTTACGGGTTAAACTTGCCAGGTGTCTTCAAAGCTGTATTCCTTAACAAACCCAAGTAACCTGGCATCTTTGAGGCTGGACTTCCTTCGCATCATTTGCAGCCATGAACACTATGTCACCTTGAATTTACCCTGCAGCTTGCTCACACCGCCTGCGTCTCCATCACCCTCTGTGTCTTCAGCAACTTCCCAGGTACCCTGCAACAAGGGCCCTTTGTGGGAATTCAAGCTGAGCTTTGTTCTGAGGCTTGATTCACATGAGGCAGAAGATGTGTAATCCATATTTTCAGTCTCTGCTTGCTAGTATTTGTTGGAAATGTTTATTTAGAAATTAACTTCATTCAGGAAAGAACGGGTGAACAGCTGGAAAGCACACAGACAGAGTTCTCACTTGAAAGGCCCCCTTTGCCACTGATGTGCTGGGGAAAGGTTGCAGTGGGTGGATGAGGGCTATGGGAACCATGCAAGGGTTGCAGGCAGCTCGGGTGATGATGTGACTTTGGCTACAGCAGTTTTGGTTTTACTTCTTTCTGGAACATCTTGAACCATCTTGAACCTCACATTCAGACTTTGGAGGAAAGTGTAACAGCTTTTCCTGCTGTGTTGGTTTTCACTTGTTTTGATATTGTATCATTGGGAAAAAAAAAAAAAAAGAAGCCCATATGTGTACCCCCATAGTGTCCACACACCCTTTTGTCCCAAGGCACCTAATCTCTTTCCATGTTATGCATGAGCATAAATGAGCCAAAAAGACTTTGCACACTATTACCCTTTTCTTATAAAACAAGGGACTTTCTGTATACTGTAGTGTTGTCCCAACCTGCTGAGAAAAAGTAGAGTAACAAGTGTTTTGTTCAGGTAGATTAATTAGTTGAAAAATTAATTAAACTTACTCAAATTAAAGCTTTCTTAAGCCTGAGGAAACGATCCATGCCTGAGTTAAAAGTTTAACTAATCCACTTTCCAAGGTAATTTGGCTTAACTTCTCTAAGGCTGTCTTGCAGGAAAGGAGGCAATAATGACAAACAATTAAGAGAAGAAGTAGAAAGCTTGGATATATTGTAGTTAAACGTGCCTACATCCAAACAAAACATGAAAAAAATAGTTTACCTGGGATCGTGTTTAATTCTGAAACTGCTTTTGTTGTGTTTCCTGGGCTTTGACTCTCTGTGTTCCAAGGATCCTTATGATGCAGCTGGTGAAACTTAGTTGGTTTTTTTGGCTTTTTTTTTCCAGAGTTCTGGGTTCTCCACAAATGTCCAAGACCAGAAGATTGCAAATATGTTTGAATTGTCTGTGCCTTTCCGTCAACAGCATTACTTGGCTGGGCTTGTGTTAACAGAACTGGCTGTCATTTTAGATCCTGATGCAGAAGGGTAAATCTTTGCAATTTTTTTCCTCAAGAATTTTCTGTAGTTCCAAGTAAATGGTGGATAGCAAGCAAATTCTGGCATGGCCAGAATTAAGTTATATTTGTGAGTTGAGAAGGTAAGGGACCTGTTCTTTAACTCTGAGAATCCTCTTTTTCCTTGCTGCTTCTGTTTCTCAGTTCCTTAGCACTGGCACTGTGAATATGATTTCAGTCATATTTTTCCAGCTGAGGGGGGAAAGAGATTCCCTCTGGAGCCCCCAGCTCCAAAGGGGCACCAGTGGAGTTCCAACAGGAAAACTGCTTTTATCAACTATAACAAAAAAATAATTTTGTGTTTAAGAAGTCTCTGTTGCTGGTGTTTTCAAATATTACAGTGCATTTTGCCTGTAGTCCCCTCTGTTCAACATAAATTATGCATCAGTGAGACCCCCATGGGTTACATAAATAGACAAATAGAGTCAAGTGTGCAGAGTTGGTCAGTGACTTGCCTGGCTTGTGGAGCAAATAATTTTTTGAAGTGGGAGTGTAGCCTGTAGACCTGACATCCAGTCTGTTACTTGTGTTATTTAGAGCTGTTTTCTGCCTTGCTCCTTTCAAATGGATTTCAGTAGAAATTATTGATTGCTTCTGCAGTCCTAAGTTCTCTCACAGGCATTTTCTCAAGGTGGACCCAGAAATATCAGCAGAGTCGACGAATACTGATGATTCATGGGTAATTCTGCCCCTTTACCAAGAGGTCTCAGGAGTTAAACATTAATTCTGTTTCTTGTTGGAGAAGAAAGTGATGCCATAAATGAGTTTGTTGTCCTGTATATGTGCATAACACATTGTAGTCCCACTTGTTTGGTCTGAAAAAGCAGCAAATCTTTACCTATTCACACACTGCAGAAATCCTATTTGTAGAACAGGAACATCCTACTCCCTGGTTAGAAATGAGGTCCTGTCTCTGGTCTCATTTCCTCTTAATTTTCACAACCTTTCTTTTCTCACATACTACTTTTTGAGCTCTGTCACCTTGATGTTCTCAGCCCTTAAGCTTGGACCTTGGTGCTGGACCTCTTTGTCCAGCTGCACAGAGGAGCCATCAGTATGATTTGTGTCCACTAGAGAGGCAGCTCCTATCTGGGCTCTCTGTAGACAGCAAAAGCCCACTGATACCAGTACAGTTCTGGAAATCCCTTTTAATCAAAGGCTCCTGAATTTTGGTGAAGATGTGTATCTGTAATGCATTTATTTGTTACAGTTCTCCAGAATGACTTGTGGTTTGCAGCTTATTGGCTTTTCTCAGGATTAAATCTGTCTTTGCCCTGATAGATGCACCATGGGGTCTATCGTTCTCATGCCTGAGAAGAGTTCTAATGGTCAGGTGTGAGGATCATTACCAGATGATTAATGGAGGTTTTAGGCATGCTTACCATTAAAGTATTTTGGCCCCTGTTGGAAAAAGCTTACAATTGATTCCAGGAGTGGAGAGGGATGCCCACCCATTTAGCTGCTCGTTCCACTAGAGCTTTGCATTAGATCTTGTTAGGTGGTGTAGAGCCTTATATTTATTCCTTCCATGCTTTTGTTCCCTTGGCAAAATACATTACATTTTAGTTCACCCATTGTATAAGAGCCCCTTGGATTCCACTGAAAAGGAAAGACTGCAGTGCTGTGTTGCCTACAGGTTTGGTTACATCCCCCTGTGCTAGGTGCTGTACAGTAACACAACATGTCACAGTCCTCCTCCAGAGCACCTGTAGTCTAAAAGAGGAGACAGCATGTGGATTAAAGAAGCTAGAGAGTCAGCCCAGGCAGATAGACCTCGAACAGGTTTTCTTTGCTGACAGCACTGCACGTCTTGATTATTCAGTGGTAACAACAATTACTGCTCATTTCATAGTGCCTGTGTTGACTGACATTACAGGGCAGAGATGAGAAAATCAGATTTGACCCTGGGTATTCACCAACGAAAGTCAGTTTTGCAGACGTGTGCACTGTTGTCCCAAATCCAAGGCTGAGATGTCAGAGGGGCTGGTGCAGGGCAGCAGGATCACTTCATTGCGTTATCAGACAGAAAGATAAGCAGGTCACATTTCCTCCTCCATACAGATTGATCCTGTACCCGTTCTGTTCAGGAAAAGGGAAAAAGAAACCCATGTAGCCCTAGGTTTTAATTACACTGCATTGTTCGAATGTGCTTTCCCTGTGCTTAGTTCCATTGCCTGTTGGATAGCTTGTTTCCAGCTATTCAAGTGCAGCCTAGATGCCACTCCTTCAAAACAATACAAAGCTTTTTCTTTAACCTTAATTTGAAGGTTGTGCTGCCAGTTATTTAAATAAGCATTTCCTTCCTAGCTGTTTAGGATTTCATTGATAATGACAAGGCAGCTGTAGGATTTATATTGGTGTGATGTAAAAAACACAGAGACAAATGTAGTTTCATCTACCTGATGCCTTCCTAACCTGTACTGGTGTCTTTATAACCACTTTAAACCCACAACAATCCAGTCAGATCCTCTTGTCTTTTTTAACCAGAACTCAACTCTACTTTTCAGGTAAAGTGGATACTGCCTGAAATTCGGCCCTTGTTTTAATACCACAGGTCTGAACACTGAAGCTTATGTTTTGCTACTGCATCATGTATGAGCTTCTTTGGCTGCTTTGTGCATGGGGTAGGGTTGTTGCATTGGACTGGTTTGCCTCCAGAAGCAAATAGCTACAGAGATACATACTATTTGCTCTGGGAGAGTTTGCCCTCTGTGTGGTGGCTGAGAGGACTGAGAGGAGCAGAGTGAGTTGTCAGGAGTCAAAGGGGTTTATGTTCATGAGGCATGAGCACCAGTAGGCTTACACACAGTGTTGTGCAAGAGGGAATGGTGCTTGGGCCCTGCCATTGTTTGCAGCTTAATAATGAAGAAGGCCACTTCTTGCTGGGTTTTTCCTTCTGCCCCTCCATTTCTCTGATAGTTTGCATTCAGCTACTGAGCTGTAGTCTGTTTCGGTTGAATAATTGCATGGGGATTCAGGGAACTGAGGCAGAATCTTCCTGATCATCTGATAAAAGCAATGTTCTGTTTTAGGAGGGCTTTTCTCTCTGTGAATGGAGTTAAATAGAAACAGAAAAGAGCACTACAAGTGATGTCACTAAACCTACTCTCGAGTTTCTCTCCCCATCCTCTGTATTTCCCTATCTCTCCTAGCATTCTTCAGTTGACTCGGTACAGCAGCATTGCAAAGCTGGGGCTTTGTATGGAAAATGTGAGAGTGCTTGCATCATGTTGAGTGTACACCTCAGCAGGATGTTTTTATACCTTCTATATGGCATGGTCAGCAGCCAGCCATTTGGAAAATCCTTGGGTGATGGAAGAATATGTGCAGTGACAGTTTATGCGAAGTTAAAAATACAAACTAGGATTCCTTTTCTTCCTTTTCTTTTTAACCGAAACCACTCAGTTACAACACACAGTTTGCTTTGAAGGCATTAACTAATCTGCGTGACCCAACTCTCTTCTAACAGTTTATTTGGATTGCATAAGAAGGTCATCAATATGGTACACAACTTACTGTCCAGTCACGACTCGGACCCGCGGTACGCTGACCCGCAGGTAAAGGCCCGGGTGGCAATGCTGTATCTACCTCTGATTGGTGTGATCATGGAAACGGTGCCTCAGCTCTATGATTTTACAGGTATTTTGTATTCTGTGCTGTGATTTTACAGGTATTTCATATTCTGTGCTGTGGGTATATGTTCAGCTGCTCACCAAGTTTGAGCGTTTCTTGTCTAGAACAAATTCCGTTGGTTCTAAAACAAGACCCGTTACTGGTGGATGAGGTCGTTTGTATTTCTGAAGTATAATAACTTTGATGTGTTTCCACATCCGTTTCCTAAAGTGCACTTGCAAAATCCTCAATGGCTGAACACTCAAAGCTGCATTTGGCCACTTGTTTGCATAAAGTGAAAAATGAGCAGTGCATTTTAATTGCTATCTGCATAAGGCTGGCCTGTCTCTCTGCTCTGACCTGATTCAAAAGTCATCCCATATACTGTGCAGGGCTCAGAACAATTAGAATCATAGAATCCTAGAATGGCCTGGGCTGCAAAGAACCACAGTGCTCATCCAGTTCCAACCCCCTGCTATGTGCAGGGCCCAGAGCCACATCCAGCCTGGCCTTGGATGCCTGCAGGGATGGGGCATCCACAGCCTCCTTGTGCAACCTGTTCCAGTGCCTCACCACCCTCTGGGTGAAAAACTTCCTCCTTATATCTAACCTAAACCAGTCTCAGTTTAAAGCCATTCCCCCTTGTCCTATCACTATCCACCCTCACAAACAGCCATTCCCCTTCCTGTTTATGCACTCCCTTCAAGTATTGGAAGGCCACAGTGAGTCTCCCTGGAGCTTTCTCTTCTCCTAACAAAACAAGCCCAGACCCCTCAATCTTTCAAAGGTTAAAAAGAAGGAGCAGAGTTCCTCTACTTCCTTTCTGTATGTGCTCTATCAGCAAGTCATTTCAGGTGTGTCCTGCAGAGAAGCAGAGGTGAGATGTGTCAGCTCAGGGCAGGTGATCTGGTCTGGAGTAGTTTGGGATTTGGAGTCCTTGCCATCCTTTGAGTTTAATGGCACAGTAAAGCAAAAAGTAAAGTTGTGGTGTAGGGACTTCAAAGGAGTGAAAAGTCTATTTTCAAAAGTGTTCTAGATATTGAGGTTGTATAGAAGGCTTTTACAAACTGTTACTGTCTTAGCCTTGCATAATCTCAAATAATAGTAAGCCTTGTTTACTTGCAGGACCCTATCAGTGGGTGTGATGTTTCTCAGTTTGCCTTGCTAGATGGTTCAGGGAAACAAGCACTGTGGAGGGAGGCTGGGGTTGAGTTTGGGGATTAAAGTGTTGAGTTTGGGGATTAACTAGGATGTGTGTGTTTCTGGCAGAGAGTCACAATCAGCGAGGGAGGCCGAGCTGCGTCACTGCTGATGATTATGAAGGCGAGAGTGGAAGCATGATAAGCCAGACAGTTGCCATGGCCATCGCAGGAACATCGGTCCCTCAGCTCACCAGGCCCAGCAGTTTTCTACTCACCTCATCGGTACAAAGCTATTTCTGCCTATTCCTTGACCCTCACCCTGTGTCAATAAGCAAATATTTACACATGCACGCCCTGTAGGGCTGATCAGTGAGCAGCAGAAACTCGTATCAGTTTGTGGCTGGGTGTTGTAGAGGGTGAAAAGCAAGGGAACAAATCACTACTGAATGTTGTTGTACCTGTCTCATTGGGGTTATAAATGTCAGGCAGGGATGAGAATCAACAAACCTCAGAATATGTAAGAATTTTCTGATAAATATTTTCTCTTTCTGAAACAATTGCATAAAAGCTCTTTGAATTACAATGGTTGTTATAAGTTCTAAGCAGAAATTCCTACCACATCCAAGTCTTACCTAGCTGAAGATGTAAATGGGCCATTTCCCTTGTTCTCTGCACAGGAAAGGGAATCTCCTCAGTTCTAGCAGACCCTTCCATTTCTCCCTATTCACTTCTGTTCCTACCTGGCAATTATTTAGGCCAGAGTAGCACCTTATGGAAATCCTTTCAGTGGTGACTGAAGCATTTTTGGATGTGAAATCCAGTGTGACAGATGTCTTGTGCTATCTGTTCTAGAGCGGCAGGCAGCACTCCACCTTCTCAACAGAGTCCAGCCGCAGCCTCCTGATCTGTCTCTTGTGGGTGCTCAAGAATGCAGATGAAAGTGTCTTACAGAAGTGGTTCACAGACCTGTCAGTGCTGCAGCTCAATCGCCTGCTGGATTTGCTTTATCTTTGCGTATCCTGTTTTGAATACAAGGTACTGGTGTTTAAACCTCCTGGAGTTTCTTCTAAGGCTCGCAGAGAAATGTAACACTCCCATCCTTTGTACAATTCCAGAAAGGCATTTCCTGTTCTCTCAGTATTTCCTGTAATCTAAATCCCATGGCTAAGCACTTCTCTGTGCAGCCTCTGGCGTTCTTCCATGTTTACTTTTCAGTCATGTAAGTGTTTCTGTCTCCTTTCATTTTTTATGTAGCTTGTGTTGCTTGCCACTCATCTGGGAACTGCAGCATTGTAAAGGAAATATCTCTTGGTCATTTTGCTTGTTCCCAACAATAAGAGAGCTTTTTGAAGTGTTGCCGGATCTGGGTAGATTATCTAGTTAGCAACTAAAGCTATGTTCCTTTCTTTCTCTCCTCATACAGGAATGGTATTTTGAGTTGTTGCACTTAATAAATAATCCAAATTGAAAGTCTCTTCCCTCACTATCATTTGAAACTTGCAGGGCAAGAAAGTGTTTGAAAGAATGAACAGTCTGACATTCAAGAAGTCAAAAGACATGAGAGCCAAGCTTGAAGAGGCTATTTTGGGAAGCATAGGAGCAAGGCAGGAAATGGTCCGAAGAAGCAGAGGACAGTTAGGTGAGTAAAGACATCTTCTGCACTCTACATATTTTTCAAAAACTGCTACACCCTTCCCTAAATGGCCCAGGGATTAGGACAAGAATCAACTGGGTTCAGTCTCCTACTTTGCTGGAGGCTTCCTGGTACATGTGAGTCACTCACAGTGGGCTACATTGAATAAATATTTTAGAGACATAATTAATGAGTCATTTCACAGAGTTAGGGACCTTTGTACTTTTTTTTTTTTTCTTCTCCTAAATCTGATTGCCTTTATCCCTTATCTGGGATGTTGTGTGATGAAATTTCCCTGCCCTCCCAGCGGTGGCAATAAAGACAGATAGCCTGTGAAGCAGGAAATGGGATCTCAGCACCGTCCTGAAGACATCACTGTTTTCAGCTGACAAACAGTAGTCTCAGACTGCTGAGGATTGCTAAACCTAGGCTCCTGAGTAGTCCAAAGAAGTTGCTTCTCAGCAACCCTGATAGTTACCTCTCAGCAGTCTGTCTCAGTTGGCTCAGTCTGTACTCAGTACTTGGGTGAAAATGACTGCAAGTCAAGTTACCTCTCATGGCACTTAGTGAGAGACCATATAGACAGCTTGGGTCTGAGTGCCACAGCATTGGACCTAAGGAATAAGTTATAGCTTGCTGTCACCTGTTGGTTGTTAACAACGTAGAGTTGCTACTTAAAAAAAAATAAAAATAAAAATTAAATGGCTACTATTATTTTAATATTATCCTACAGAGAGAAGTCCTTCTGGGAGCGCTTTTGGAAGTCAAGAGAATTTGAGATGGAGAAAGGATATGACTCACTGGCGTCAAAACACGGAGAAGCTTGACAAGTAACTCTGCCTTATTCTTCTATTTTAACCATGTCACAGTGCCTGTGGGAATGCAGGGTCTCTCTCACCAGTGATGGTCAGTGGCAGCAGTCCACTTAGCCTGTTTGAGCCCTCCACTGGAGCAGGTCTGGCGATGTACAAATAGATTTTTGCTGACACTGCCCTGTTTTAACTCTTATTTTCCACCATTCCTTACTTTCTCAGTATTTTTAAAAGAGATTTAACAAGACTAATACAATCCATGGCCTTCTAAAAATCCTGTAGTAAGCTGTAATTTAGAGAGAAGATTCATGAAGAATATTCACAGATAGCATATATATCCCATGTCATATTTCCTTTATTACATAAGAGCATTCTGGAGTTGTCAAAGCTCACTTTCCTTTCCTTCCCTAATCCATCACTTTGATTGTTTTTCCACATGTGCTGTGCTTTTAGAAGCCACAAACCAGCCAGGTACTGTAGTGTTGGTGTGCAGTTCTTATAAATTGCCATTTATACATCTGCAGATTCAATCATCACAGCCTTGTTTGTGATGCTTGGCAGAAGTTTTCAGTGTGTGTGTGTGTGTGTGCGTGTGTGTGCAACTGGTTGGAATGAGCTCCTCTTGCTTATTACACCCATTTCCTTTATAATTCCCTCTCCCAGTGTGGTTTAATTTGGAAGGCTCAGGAGTTGTGTTTGAGCTTTGCAGTGCATGTTTTCTGTTTCCTCAAATTGCAGTCTGCAGTCTGGAATTGTTCCTAATCCTAGGAAAATAATCTCAGCCCAAGTGAAGCTCTGAAGAAACTGAGGAGCCAGTCCTCAGCCTGGATGGAAGTCAGGCCAAATTTTACCCACAAAGACATAGAGATACTTCTTGGATTTGAAAGTACATCTTTACAGTTTATCATTATTTTGTCCAACACAGAAGTGTAGATCTCTTGTTATGTCAGGTAGTGGCTTCTTGTCCAGTACTGCAGTCTGGCTGAGGCATCAGGAAAGCCAGATCGACAGTGTCTTTTAAACCTCCTCACGTAGTGATGTAGGTATAAATTTCACCATGGTTCAACTCGAGCCGTGGGCACTTTTACTGGATTAAAGTTTGGCCTGCAGAATTCATCCTTTCACTACTGACACAGGGGCTGGGCCTCTCTCTTTGGCCCAGAAGGATCAGGCACCAAGCCTTCATGTTCTGGAGACTGAGGAGTAGACAATGAGTGTATGACCCAGCTCCCATGGGAAGCTGTGTGGCACAGGAGTGTTGCTGCAGTACAGGTTACAGGAACACTGTCAACCAAGTCAGCTCCATCCTCTTTGATGTGTGCTCTGTTTGGATTTTGTCAGTACTCTGCATCATGCCTTCAGTGCCATTTGGCCTGGCTTGAATCTGTCAGAGATAGCACCTGAGTTGGGCAAGCTGTAGCTGGGCCCTTTAGATGTAGCACTGAGGCTTTGCCAAGTGCAGCTCCTGTCACTGAATTGAGGTGGTTTCTGCTGAATTCCTGAGACCTCTGCTGTGAGTGGGGATATGAACTTTGTCAGCCTTTTGAGGGAAGTGAGTGCCTGCTGTTAAACAGCAAAGTTGTGTGGGTTTTTTATTCGTGGCATGGAAGATATTCTTCAAAAACTGTAATGTAATGTAGCATAAGAGGGCAGAAATCACACCTCCACACTGTGCACTCTGCCCTGCAACTAGTCTGGCTGCTGGGAACAAAGTGCATAAATACCAGCTCGTGTAGCACCACCGTGTGTCCATAGCCTACAACATGAAACCATTCATTCTATTCCTGGTTTCGCTGTTGCATGCCTTACAATGCTACTAAACCAGTTTGAGTTGGACTTTGATTCTAAATGCTTGTTGTCTTCCTGGGAGAGTAAATGAAGTGTCAGAAGTAGTGTGATCTCTCCTGAGCATGATGAACGTAAATCACCTGTGAGTTTGTATATGTAAAAAAAGCAAGTCTTCCTGTCCTCTTAATGGATACATTCAAGGATCGTTGTGTTGTCCAGCAATAAGTATGTGCATTGTAATCAAGGGGTTCCTGCTAATGAGGAAATATTTTCAAGTGGAGAATAATATTGGGTTTGCTTCTTAAACAGAAGGTAATTTTTATTGCTTTCTTTTCTCCGAATAGATCACGAGCAGAGATAGAACATGAAGCACTTATTGATGGAAATCTTGCAACAGAAGCAAATCTAATTATTTTGGATACACTAGAGATAGTTGTACAGGTAAGGATGGTAGAAGAAAAGAGATGTGATACCATTAGGATCAGCTGGCCTGGCAGCAGTTCATTAAATAGAGCCTTCCTGCCATTCTGACTGCCTGAACACTGTCAGAACTGTCCAGGTCTACTGCTACAGCAGGAAGGATTGTAATGCCTCTCCTCATCCTCAGCCCTTTACAGTATGGTTTTTAAGTACTGTAGCTTTCTTCAGGGTTTTTGAAAATTGTTCCTTTTTTGTAGTATAAGGAGTATTTGTTTTTAAAACTCCATTAATGAACAGTGAAAATTGGCTAGTATTGCCCTATTACAGCCAACTCCTCTGGTTCCTTCCCAAATTTGCCTCCAGTCATTCAGTTCCAGGTCAGTCTCTTGTGTTTGTACACAGTGGCACAGTGCAGGAAAGCCTCCAGGCTCCTCGCTGTGGTACAAAATCTGTCTGTTTCCCCTTTACCCACTAGTGAGCATGGACACACGGCAGTTTTGTGTCATTCCATCTCCTTCAACTCATGGGTCAGATTTCCATCACCTGGAGCCGATTCAGAAATGCGACTGTTCCACAGGCTCAGCAAAGTGGGCAGTTTCTCCATGCCAAAGGGGTTTCCAGCAGAGTTATTACAGCTCCCCCAGGAGGTTTGCTTGTGCTTATGACCCTTGGTTTTCTTTTGCCTGCAGACTGTTTCTGTGACGGAGTCCAAAGAGAGCATCCTCGGCGGGGTGCTGAAGGTGCTTCTGCACAGCATGGCCTGCAACCAAAGTGCACTTTATCTCCAACACTGCTTCGCCACACAGAGAGCTTTGGTCTCAAAGGTGAATTCTCTGCAGATGCTGTAATATATCCTGAGCAGTGCAGATGGAGGATGGGGCTGTTTTTTTCCCTTTATATCGTTGTCACTTCACCCAGCATTTATTGTTTTGTGCAGGACGAATTTTCAGGAAATGGGGTCTCGGGATGGATAAAACCTGAGTGGTTTTTGTGATGCGGGTGCTCTTTTTATGCAGTTTGGGTTTTATAGCTGTGCACAAAGGTGCAGTTCACGAGGTGTGGGCTCCTGCTGGCTAGCAGATGTACTTAGCCAGCAGGCAGCGCAAGGAACAGCTGAAATTAAGGATGAATCTTGCTTAAAATTCATTTATTCTTTTTTCACTTGCACCATAATTTAAACTATGATTCTGCATATGATGTACTATGATGTATGTCTATGATGTACTGGTAATAGCCCAAAGGTTTAAGCCTGAGTTTTTGGAATCAGTGTGAATCAATCGAAAGGTGTATATGCAAGAGCAAGGAGTGGTGGAGTAGGTAAAATGAATAGTAGGTAAAATGTCTTCCAGTGTTACCAGTGAATCTGCATCTCTCTAACTGTAAAAGTGAAGTGATTCAAACCAGCACAATTCCCCTCAAAGGAAGCTTTGAGGGGATTGAACTTCCTCTGATGCTGATGTATGCTTGATGTATTATTGCTTGATAGGATCATCGTGGCCTTTATGTCTGAGTGCTTGTTTCTGTCTGTCCAGGCGGTAGTTTTCTCATATGCTGTTTTTCCAGTTCCCTGAGCTGCTGTTTGAAGAGGAGACTGAGCAGTGTGCAGATCTGTGCCTGAGGCTCCTGAGACACTGTAGCAGCAGCATCAGCACAATACGGTCACACGCGAGTGCCTCACTTTACCTTCTGATGAGGCAAAACTTTGAGATTGGGAATGTGAGTGTCCTGCTGCACTTCATTAGGTTATTGTATGGGAACTGGTTGGGGACCTCTGGATGGAGCACTGTGTATTCATTCATGTGAAAGAAAGGCTGTTAGAGGGCTTATCAGCTAGACAAGCATGAAAATGAATTAGAAATACTGGGATTTTTGTTTTCCTCCAGATGTTACTAATTTCTAATTAGATCTTAGGTTTACGAACTCACATGTGCTTCAAAGTGCTAAGAAAGTTCTCAGCTTCAGCTCCTCCAGCTGGTATTTTGCAAGTACCCACGTGCCTGTCTGTCACAAAGTGCTCACCAAGGCTGAGCAGCAGAACTGGAGGGATTCACTGACTCTGATAACAGTGAGTGCACAGTATTGGCAGGTTGTTGAAATACAGTTTCTCTGTTGCAGAACTTTGCCAGAGTGAAAATGCAGGTGACTATGTCTCTCTCATCCCTGGTGGGGACATCCCAGAATTTCAATGAGGAATTTTTACGACGTTCCTTGAAGACTATTCTAACATATGCTGAAGAAGATCTGGAACTCAGAGAGACAACATTTCCTGATCAGGTAAAAGAACCACAGGAATAAGTGGCATTTAGTTTATTTCCAGCCTGGAATATTTGCATGCATTCCTCGAAGGAGGTTCATACTTTTTTTTGTGACCTGAGTACACCAAACCCAGATCCTTGATTAATTCTGACAGTGAGGTAACCACACAGAGGCTCAGAGCAGCTCTGGCCCTGGCATAGCAGTAAGTAGCTTGATTCCCATTGCTACTTCATTACAGCGGTGTATTTTTTACAGGTCCAAGATCTAGTGTTCAACCTGCACATGATCCTCTCTGACACAGTTAAAATGAAGGAGCACCAGGAAGATCCAGAAATGCTAATTGACCTGATGTACAGGTAGAGTCCATACTCATTGCACAGCAGGGACAGTAGATGTCAGTGTCCAGCTGGTGTTTGGTACTTATGGCACTTCTGTATTTAGAGCACTGAGTATTGTGTAGCTGTGAATCTTGATCATGCATTTGGCAATCATTTTACTTTTAACTTAAGCTTGTTTTGCACTGCTTCCTGTGATTCACACGTCACCTAATATAAACACAGGTAATTGCTCTTTGGTTTTGAACTCAGATGTTGTCCATTTGAGCCCTTACAGAGCATCGTTTTGGAGCAGTGACGCTGCAGTTCTAGTCTGAAATATGAAATTTAGTCAAGATCTTCAGCAGTCACCCATAGAAGCAGTGAGCCATCACTAGCTTGATCCAGTTGCTCGCCCACCAGTAGCTAGCTAAGAAATCTGTGAAGTGATTGTTGCTTAAACAGAAATGACTGCATACTAATTGCAGAGTTTTTGTGTGTGTGTGTTTTCTTTCTCTCCTTTTTTTCCCTATTTTTAACTAGGATTGCAAAGGGCTATCAGAATTCCCCTGACCTGCGCTTGACCTGGTTACAGAACATGGCTGGAAAGCACTCAGAGAGGAGCAATCATGCAGAGTCAGCACAGTGTTTGGTCCACTCTGCAGCCTTGGTGGCTGAGTATCTGAGCATGCTCGAGGACCGAAAATACCTCCCTGTAGGATGCGTTACATTTCAGGTAGAGGTTATCTTCTCTAGTGTATTTTGGGGTTTTGTCACTGCTGCTGACAGATACTCCTATGTTTAGACATTCACACTGCATTCACTCAGTTTATTTTGTGGAGAATGCATCATAGCAAGTTCTGAAAATAATCTTTATGCTTGAACACGGCTTGATTCCCCTGAGCCTCTCATCTGTAGGCTGAATGAATCCAATTGAGTTTATTTCTTCATATAAGTTGTACTTCTTTACCATCTGTTTAGGGCAGTCACTGTGAAGTGAGTGCAGTTGTTCCGAAGCAACTTATGGAGGGGTTGTTGTGACTCACATTAGGCAGGGCAGCGCTGAGCAGAGCAAACAAGCACACAGCTGTGAACACATGGGCCACTCCAATCAGCTCAACCATGTGCTGAAGTGTCCTGTTGTTTCAGAAGGAGATGAAACAAAAAGCACGTAACAGCTGCTGCTTTAAACATTGTAGGATTCGATTGAAATCATCAAGCTTTCAAAGTGTTGAATGTCATTGAAATTGAGCACAAATTTTTACCTGTGTTATGTTTCCTTAGAACATATCTTCTAATGTTTTGGAAGAGTCAGCAGTTTCTGATGATGTTGTGTCACCAGATGAAGAAGGTATCTGTTCTGGAAAGTATTTCACAGAAGCTGGTCTGGTGGGATTGCTGGAGCAGGCTGCAGCATCTTTCTCCATGGTAGAAGACTTGAATTTCTTTCTCTCTCTCCTTCTCCTGGGCAAAATAATGGGAAATGTTTTCTCAGTGAAACTGTGTAGCTTTGTTGTAACTGCTTAATTCAGGTGGAGCATTGGGAGTTTGAGCTGCTCAAGATAGCTCAGTTTGCCCTCTCAAGTGAACTGCAGTGAGCGGGGTCAGGGAGCAAAGGGCTTTTTGGTTTCCTAGCATCTTTCATTTCAACACTGCACATTTTGGAGCTCACAGTGGCAGATAAAGGCCGTACTGTTTTTCTTCCTATTCAAAGTGGGTAGGCTGAGAGCTTCATATGAGCAGTGTTAGTGAGCTGGTGGTAGTGTATCCATCAGAAACAAGTGAAAACAATGAATTATATCCGACAACACAGTATGAAATATTCAGTGGGTTTAAGTACAAGCAGCAGTAACTCTGGAACAAAGAGATGTGCTGTAGCAGGCTGACTAAGCTGCACGGTGTGTTGTCTCTTTACATCGATCATCTCCATTAGAGACATAGGTATATTGTAAGGAAAAGGTGCTGATTACATCTCAGTGCCTTTTGGTGTGTGAGCCACCTTTTTATTTTGCAGTCCTGAAATGTAAATGCTGGGAGTGTGTATCATTCTCACTGCTGAACTGATGGAGCGATCTGATGGCCCTTGTTTTTTTAGGCTGGCATGTATGAAGCAGTTAATGAGGTTTACAAAGTCCTTATTCCTATTCATGAAGCTAACAGAGATGCCAAGAAGCTATCTACTATTCATGGTAAACTCCAAGAAGCATTTAGCAAGATCGTCCACCAGGTAATGATTTGGATTTTCAGCTGCAGTGTGAATTGTGGTCAAGTGAAAACTACCAGTTAAGGAAAAAAACATTTTGATAGATTACACAAGAACTGCCAAATAGTGATCTGCAGTAAATGCAAGGATCACTAATTGGAGTTTTCTCTCTGTGTGTATTTGACTGAAGAAACTTAGGAGAACATTGCATACCAAGTTTTATTGTGTCTTCAGAATTATCCAGTTCCAATCACGTTAATTCTTTCAGACGTTGTTTTAAAATGTATTTTGCATGCTCTGTTTCTGGGAGAACCACTGTTTCTTGCCTCTAGCCTGGTAGGTAACGCTGAGGAATGTTGGGAGTTTTATTTGCCTGTTAGAATGGTAGCTAAGCTGTTGAAAGAACCTTTTTAAACTTGGTGCAAAACCCACCAGCATAGGTGCTGAGCATTTGATGGGAGACATCAGACTTCACCAGCCTTCACAAAGCCCAGCAGACCTCAGCTAAGCAGGGGATGAGAACACTTGGCAACTTTCTAGAAGCCTCTAGGAGATACTTGATGGGTGCATGCCTTCATTGCAGGCAGGCATGGGCAGTAAGTGCCAAGTGCTACTCTGAGCCCCAACCCCTGCCAGCTTTCTGGCTGTGGGCTGCTTGGTGCACTGTTGTCTGTTGGTATACTTACCCTTATGCTAACAGTGGATGTCAGTCAGTGCATCAACTTCCAGCTGGTCTTCAGCAGCTGAGGGCCTGGTTGTTTCCCATGTTCTGGCACTGCCAGGTTTGTGAGGTTGAATGAACCAATAAGGAGCAATCATTGGGCGTCATTCTGGGCCAGAGAAGTCTGTTTTGGTTGCATGATGTCTTAAAATCATTGAAACCATTTCAAGTTTATGCTGCCTTACATTGATGGTCATGTTTTGGCCTTTGGACTTTTTTTTTTGTTTCTGTGACATGCGCTTTTTACTTTTTATTACACAGAGTACTGGCTGGGAGGTAGGTAACTCCATTTAGTTAGTAAAGAACACTAATAGATTTATCAGATGACTCACGCCAATGCTTGCCCACATGTGCTAGTTGTGGGTATTTCTGTTGCTGTCTGCTGTTAAAACTGAATTCATTAACCAAAGAAATACCAATAAACCGATCGTGGTCGTAGTAGGAAATTCTTCATAAGAAGCTGTAGGTAGTGCATGGATGCTGATGTATTCCACTAATGAGGTTCTTTGGTGAATGAGCCACTGTATCATCACTAGTTTGTTTTTATAATTTGTTTATATTTCTTTTCATCAGCATCAACATCCCTTCATGCCATATTTTCACCCCACCCACAGGGGTCGATTTAAGCAATAATGCTCAGAGGTACTGGAATACAAAACTGGTTTATCGCATGTGCAAACTGTATCTCAGACAAGAGGCTCCTTTATTCTGTTCGTTTAAGAACAATCCATTTGTTATGTAGCTGTATCTGGCAGTAAAACAGCTCAGTTGTGTTAACTGGAGTCAGTTTTGCTGCTTCCATTTTTGGAGAGGCTGGTTGTTCCCATTTCTGCAATGATACACCATGAGAACCACATGTTGGCTTAGAAACAAGCGTAGCAGTCAGCTTCATCTGGTGCTGCACCCAGCACAGACAGTTGGATCAGTGAGGGCCCAGCCCAGCTGACACAGTTGGTACAAGAGTGTCAAGAAGTCACAGAAGAAACTTTGAATGGTTCATGAGTGTTGCATTATTCACATAGACTTCAGCTGTCTGGTTAGTCTCTGCTTTTCTGTGAATCAGGCGACTCAGTGTGAGCCATCTCACCCCAACTTTCCATCACAGGAGAGCATTTAAGCCCACACTGTCTGAGCTGGGGCCAAGATCAAAGTTTCTTTGACTTGTGTGACAAATAATTTGGGCTGATGATGTCTCAAAGATGGTTTTTAATTGTGGCCCAGCAAGAAGTGAAATTCAGTAGCTTAAAAATAGCCCCTGCTATTGAAGGACTGGCCCTGTAAATCATTTGCTTGCTCCTGTGAGAAGTCCCAGCAGGTGAGACTTGGAGTACATCACGGGAATGTCAACCATCCACATCCAATAGCCAATGCACGTGAAGGCCTGTGAGCATCTATCTTGATTAGTCTGCCCCTAAATCGACCCCTGAAGAAAATTCTGTCATTGGTTATGGTTCTAACATCACTCAGTCATGTTTTATTGCATGGTAAAAGACACCCATGGTTTATGTTCTCGTCTGTCATCGTGCTCTTTCATTGCCACACTTTTCTGATCTTTGTGCTTCGTAGCTTTCAGATTTGTTGCATGTTTTTTTTCCTTTTTTTTTCCTTATTTTTAAATACCTTGATTGATGCTCACCCTTTTTTTTTTTTTTAAAGTTTATTTGCTGCCAATTTGCTGCTTGTTTGTTTTTTGGAATTTCCCTAATTAAATACTTTCTGTTTTCTCCTCTATCGCCCTGGTTGCTGACCCTCCTCCCCACTCTTACTATTGTCTGTTGTGGTAAGTTCCTACTTGTGGATTTGTTTGGTTGTTTTTTTTTTTGCTTCCTCCTTCCCTCTTCCCCTCCCCACCCCCTTTTTATTTTTTGTTTTTCTCTGTGGAAATCCCAGTTTCATTGTAGCAACAAGCTATGCCAACAGCAGGGTACACCCCATGTGTCCCAGGAAAAGCAGCATTGCCAACTATAGGCCTCAGTGTCCCAAGTGGCACCAATGCCTTTGGAGTGGTGGGTTCCTCTGCTCTGCTCTTGGTTTTATAAATATCGAATCCCTTTTTTGTGGGTTTTTTTTGTTTGTTTGTTTGCTTGTTTTTTTCAGCATACAAAGTGATGTTGCCTCGAACAGCAGCACTCCAGAAACAAAAAAATATTGAAAAATGCATATTGAAAGAGTTACAATAGTTGGCAATGCTGCAAAGGACCTTGGGTGAAATTGGGCAAGAAAAGAGAATGCTTTCTTTAGTAGAAATGGTTGGATTTTGCATTCTGCACAGTGTGTATGAAGGAGTCACTTTCCCTCATGCATATTTGGGGCTGGCTCTGCCTGCAGGCCGCTGCAGCTCTGCTGGTGGAGAAAGCAGAGCAGAACTCCAATGTTGGATTCTTTCAGATCTTGTTGGCAAAGCTTTTTGTGTGTATGCAAGAGATAACTCAAACTTGATTCCCAGCAATTTTGAAAGGTATTTACCATGCATAATAACAAATCATGAACCTTCATATGTCATGATGGCTGTTATCTGCTCTGCCGGTTCTGTGATGGCTATTCAGTGTTCACCTTCATTCTCTTCTCCTCCCCAGGACCTATTATTTTTCAAAAAATAATAGGAGATAAAATGCTTTTAATATTTTCTCCCTCGTATCTGCATTTTAGCTCTTTTCAGAAACAAGACCATGGAGTATTTTTAAGTGACACGTTTCCATTTCAGTACTGTTATTCCAGAGACTTTGGTGTAAGCTAAATTTCAACCTAGTGAGGTTTGCAGAGCCGTCTCCTGTTAACTCCAGGCAAGAAACTGAGCTCTCCTCATCCCATGGGGCTCACAGCTATTGAATGTCCCCAAGGGGCAGGGAATAGCCTGTGGGCCTTCGCTCACCTGAGGAGTGTTTCCATGCTGAGATTGCCAGACATGGCCTCAGACTGGGAAACTGCCTCTACAAAGAGGATGGAGGCGTTCCTGCTCCACTCCTCCCTCTGACCCTTTCACTCCAAAGACACTCCTACAAAGCCTTGTGGAAGGCAGCACAAAGGGTTTGATGCTTCCTTTGCTGGGGAGCCGTCACCGCTCAGCCCATGGCTGATGGCTCAGGGCTGTGTGGTGGAGATGCTCTGTCCCACCTGGGCCAACCAGTGCTCCTTCTCCATGAGGTCCTCATGATAACTGAATGTCAGCAACTGGATTGATAGGGGAAATTTGGTGCAGCTGGACTTCATGGTGATGCAGCGTGCACTGGGGGCTGGATCTCACCTGGCTTCCCAGCCCCTGGACTTATCAGTTCCACATGGCTCTTATTTTATGCATTTAGTAAATGCTACCAGAACTACTTATTAATTAAAGATGATAATAGACAGCGTTTTCTTCCCCTCTTATTGATATTTTTATGGCAACATAAATGTACACCTGCTGTAAGAAGTGATGTGCAGATGGCTGTGTGGCTCCTACCTTGTAGGAACCAGGTTCTGCAAATGCTTTGTACCCCAAACCTCACATGCCCAAAGACAGGGCCAAATCCTGGTCAGTTCTGGTCAGAGCTGGGCACAGCTGAGCTCTGCCCTCTGTAGCATGGGGCAGGCAGCAGCCTTCGCCCCAAAAACTAGCATTGCCCACTGTGTTCTTCAGGCCAGCACCTCACCATAGCAGTGCTTCAGAGCTCTCCTGAGATATCCTTATTTACACTCCTTGCCTTCTATAGGTCGTGTTCACCATCATCACAATAGATCAGTTTTGCCATAGCAAAAATAAGAAATAAATAGCAGATAAGACTCATGTGCAGCAGCCAGGACACCACAGGTGCTCTCTGAACCCAAAGCAGAGCGCTGTGCACACACGTTCTCATGAGAGTAAAGGTGAACATCTCACAGTTTCTTGCTGAAAAGCATTTCTGGTTTGTGCATGCGGAGTGAATTGTTTTAACAAGATTAGAGGTGTGGTTTATTTTTAAAGTGTTTTTCCTCTTTCTTTTAATCAGATTTTCTTTGTTACTTTCCAGCAAAAATCTTTCTGTTTCTCTTCTTTTTGTTGCATTTCTGGGCCAAATTCACCACTGGCTCAAAAGGAAGCAGGTACATGACACAGTGAATTGCATCTGCTTTCAGCAGGAGTGACTTTGGCCCTCCCTCCATCCTGGCAGTCAGTCCCTAGGAGGCTGTGACACCCCCAGGGCCGTGCGCTGTTCCAGCACTGCTGTGTGTGCGTGTGTGAGTGCCCTGGACATGGACATCAGCCCAACCCTGCAGTTAGCTCAGGGTGGATCGTGGGGCCCTGAAGGGCATCTCTAGGGGTGTTTGTGTGCTGTGTCCTCCCTGCGTGCTGCAGGTTGTCGGCAGCTATGGGCCAGGCCTGAAGTAATACCCAAATGTAGGAACTCACCTTTGTTCCCCAACATCCAACGCCCTCAGGCTCCTCCTGGGGTGGCAGAAGGCATTGCGGGGTTGGGCTGATGGTCATCCTTGATCCATATAACCTCACATTAGTTTGTAATTTCATTGCGGTGTCTGCTGCTAAGCGTGTTCATGCTGAGTTCCAGGTGTGTTTTTCTTTCCTTTCTTTCTTTCTATTTTTTTCTTGGTTCATTTTTGATTTCTTTTTTGAGTTTGCATAACGTCAGGAGCCCTCCTGCAGCCACACTTGGGTTGTGCTTGTCCCCACACTGAAACAACCTTTTGTTTGTCCAAACCTAGGATGGAAAGAGGATGTTTGGCACCTACTTCAGGGTCGGTTTCTATGGAACCAAGTTTGGAGACCTGGATGAGCAAGAGTTTGTTTACAAGGAGCCTGCGATAACGAAGTTAGCTGAGATTTCCCATAGGCTCGAGGTGAGATGATCTCTCTGTGAACTGCAGTTTATCTGTTTTCCATCTGTCATTCACAAATCATGAGTGCTGCAGACCTGCTATGATCACTTGAAGATCTGTGGCTTTTCACAGTGTTTGCATTTCTCATCAGCTGCCTGGTGCAGTGGGATGACTTAGGATTGAAAAAAGGCTGAGATGCTTTCAGAATCCAGCTGTTGGAAAGCATTGCTTTTTATTCTCATGTTCTCACCTTTGCATTATGTTCCTCTTCTCCTAGAGACAGTGCCCTTAACAGAAGCTGAGTTTCAGAGCCCCCAGAGTGGGCTTCTCAGGTGTCTGAAGTTTGTTTCAGCTGTGAGCAAGCGAAGGCAACTCTCATAAATCTACCTTGGCTTTGGGTGCCAATGTAAGCACCAGTTCGTTCCTCAGACCTGGCCTTGTTTAATTGCTGGAATAGATCTGCTCTCCTGTTGTTGCTCACGCTTCAGTTGCTGTCACATGGCACTGAAAGCAGCAGTGTTATCTGAGGTCTGGGCGCACGGAGCTGAGTTCAGACCCATTCATCCGGCCCAGCAGAGCTGCGCTCTGACGCGGCACCTGATTTCCAAGCAGATCCTGCATTGACCCCAGCTTTCAGTTGAGCTCACAGACACACAGTGAGCTCAGAGGTCTGTTCAAAGCCCTGCAGCACGTGTGTGCAGTTGGAAGGCTCCCGAGTTCTCTTGGCTTTCCGGGTGTTAGGCTCATTTGTTTCCTGTTGGCCCTGGAATGCGATTGATTGAATTCTCCTAGGTTCAGCAGATCACATTCAGCCCTGGTGCAGATGCGCTTGAAGGCATTTGAAGCTTCACCTCCCCCTTTGTCTCTCCAACCCCCACCTTTGATGGATGCCTATGATGCTGTATCTCAGTGCATTTGCTCTTGATTGTAGGGATTTTATGGAGAACGGTTTGGTGAAGATGTGCTTGAAGTGATCAAGGACTCAAATCCTGTGGACAAATGTAAACTAGATCCCAACAAGGTAAGAACACGAGTACAGAGTCAGCACTAGAACTGGTCCCCAATGTACATGAACATGGTGGGCCAAATCCTTGCCCTGGATTTTGCCAAGTAGGTGATGTTTCCATGAAGAGAGCTAGAGAATGTCTCAGAGAAGAGAGGTGGGGAAAATCTTCCCAGCAAAGGAGTGCAGAATGAGCTGCTTCCTTCCTGCCCTGTGATGTGTCCTGTGGGCTTGGCAGAAGGGAAGGTCAAGAGACAAAGAGACACTGCAGTCTCGGGCTGCAATTGCCTGTCTCTGTAATCTCTATGAAATGCAAGGAAGGAAGGGAGTTTTCCATTCACTGGCCTTGTATTTTTTTTTTTGTTTTTTTTTTTTTGTTTTTTTTTTGCAGCTGTAGCATTTTATCATTCTTGTCCTATGTCTTTTAAGCTCCTTTAAGTGTAACAGAAATAATGGGAGCTTGGCTAGGAAATTAAGACTCCAGTTTAGAAGAAGGTATTATCTGCAGAGAAAGGGAGGAAACACTTCACGTGAAGAGCTTCAGAGGAGAGGGGCAGAGTGCTGTATCTAGTCCAGAAGGTGCTGAGCACTCACCAGGCACTCCAGCAACATCAGTGTGACGTTTCTGAGTAAAGGCAAGGAGCAATCCTAGTTGTGCAGAGGAGTTACACCAGGCTATGGCAGCGCAGGGAGTAGAGGTCGTCTCATCTCTGCGCTTACCTGGATTCCTTCCTGCAGGCATACATCCAGATTACCTATGTGGAGCCTTACTTTGACACATATGAGATGAAGGACAGGATAACTTACTTTGACAAGAACTACAACCTGCGGCGCTTCATGTACTGCACGCCCTTCACGCTGGATGGCCGAGCTCACGGGGAGCTGCACGAGCAGTTCAAGCGTAAAACCATCCTGACAACGTCCCACGCTTTCCCTTACATCAAAACCAGGATAAACGTCATTCACAAAGAGGAGGTGAGGCCTGCACTTTGCCCAGCAGACATCCCCACAGCTCTCCTTTGAAATATTACACAATAAGGGAAGTAGATGTTGGTGAAACTCCTGCATGATGTACCTTGGTACATCATTTAGTTAAACCCCAGAGCCGCACGGAGTCATGGATAGAATTGTAGAACCAGTTGAGTTGGAAAAGGTCTTTAAGATCATCCAGCCCAATCCCAGCCCACTGACTGTGGCCCTCAGTGCCACGACCCCACAGCTCTGGAACACCTCCAGGGACAGTGACCACCTCACACCCTGGGCAGCAAGTTCCAATGCTTGTCATCCCTTCGTACTGCCACACAATATCTGTCCTGTTGGTGTCCTCTGCCTCTTGTCTCCACCGTAACAAGTGTCCTGTGTTCTGGCTGCTTGCTTAGATCATTTTGACACCCATTGAAGTTGCCATAGAGGACATGCAGAAGAAAACACAAGAATTAGCTTTTGCAACTCACCAAGACCCTGCAGACCCAAAGATGCTGCAGATGGTGCTACAGGGATCAGTAGGTACCACAGTGAATCAGGTGAGAACCATTTTCTGAATTGGAGACAAGTGGGGTTGTGTATCGCTCTGCTCAGGCACTGGGCCTTATTTCCAAATTACTGTGGGTTTTTTTTACCATTCAGTGTGTGGAATGTGTTCAAGATCACTGATGGGTCTAGAGCAGCTCTGGGTAACTTCGCAATTTGACTGAGAGTCCTGAAACCATGGTTAGATCTGGGAAGTGGCTGAGTAGATAGAGATAGCCCTTCTCCCTCATTATCTGTCCCTTCCTGGCATCTGCAGTCACTTCTGACTGCTTCTCCTCCCCCTGTTTAAAGAAAAACATGAGATTTTATTGCTTCACCTTCAGTTAGCTGGACTGGTGTTTGGAACTGGGATTGTGTCCTGCTGTGGTTTTTGAACAAAGTGGAAAGTGAAGCTAAGAGTGGAGAAACATGGAGGAAAAATTGAGCGAATATGAGTAAACCTCCACTAAGGAACAAGCTGGGAAAAACAAGGCTGGAGTTTCAAGTTCTGGGCCGAGTTCACAGTGCTGGCAAGGACTTGGTTCCATCTGCATTGTTTAAAGTTAGTTGTCAGTTCTGCAGAGTTTGTCAGGATTCATTGTAAGGGAAAACAAATGCAGGATCTGCACACATTCTCACCCTGTTTTCCAAAAGCGGAGTTTTATTTTTACAAATGCCTTAAAGCCACACAGCAGTCATGATGTCTGGTGATTTATGCCAGATCTACCAGCTGCAGTTCTTTAAGATGCACGCTGTGAGGAAATAATGCTGCATTTTACAAATGTTTCTATGTGCAAGAAGTTTCTGCAGTGAGTGGATGTGACAGTGCTGAGAAACTTACTTTTTCTCTCTGCTCCTAAAGGGACCATTAGAAGTTGCACAAGTTTTCTTATCAGAAATACCCAACGACCCAAAGCTCTTCAGGCATCATAACAAACTACGGCTCTGTTTCAAAGACTTCACGAAAAGGTATGGAGTGTTGTCTTCCAGCTGCCAGGTGCCTTTAGTACTGCTGCGCCAGGCAGGAGCACTGACACAGGGGCTGTGTGGGAGAGGAGTGCTTGTGTTGCAACCATCTGCCTGGTTTCCATACGCAGCTGTATTCTCCCTGTTCCTCTGGTGCTGCTGCTCCGTGACTTCCATCAGGTCAAGTGCTGAAGTCATTTGGCTTTGCTGAATATTGGGAAAGAATTAGTGATCACAGCTCAGTCGTGACCAAGTGTTCCCATTTCAGAACACAGCTAGCCACACTGGCACAAATGAACTCACAGGTTGGCAGGGCCAGGAGGTCTGATTTCGTTCTGATGTGAATTTGTCCAAGCCACGTAGAAGTACGTTGGCAGAATTCTCTCATGGAGCTATACTAGCTGCTGTACTTTCCTCTTGAGTAATGCAAACTGCAGTCTTAAGCCAGTGTCTTTTGTAAGCAGTGAAGAACTAAAAGAATACGTATTGAAATGTTCAGTGCAGACAGATCAGTGGCAATGTAGTTTTTCCATATATAATAGGTGGTGGTGATGTTAGAGTTCTCTTCATGCCCTTTGTTTAAATCACATTTTTCCCAGTAGAAGTCCCCAGTGAACATCTTACAGGTCTGTCTTCACAGTAGGTCTTTAAATCTTGGACTGGAAGCACTGTGCGGAGATGGGCTTTTCATTTCTCTTCAGCAAAGATAAATGTAATTGGAGAATGAAACAGAAATAAAAACGGAGTTTCCACTCTGGAAATGGAAACTGGAAACGTGACACCCTCTCCTTTCCCCACGGAGGTCAGCTGCTTTAGCTGAGTCTTTATTACCCGAAAGACAAGATAGAAAAGGATACTGTGCGTCATCCCAGAAGTGGAGAACGAAAGCTGTTGTGTTATTAACAAATCTGTCCTTTTTTTACGTGCCCGAGTTTCACAGGCTTTTGTTTTCCAGATGTGAGGATGCTCTGCGCAAGAACAAGAGCTTGATCGGCCCGGACCAAAAGGAATACCAGCGGGAGCTGGAGCGGAATTACCACCGCTTAAAGGAAGCCCTGCAGCCGCTGATAAACAGGAAGATCCCGCAGTTGTATAAGGCCGTGTTGCCAGTCACATGCCACAGGTGGATATTTGCTTTTTCTTTTTCTGCAGAGATAAGGAGGGTGGAAAGAGGGGGTGTCTGACCTTCTTGTGAAACCTGTTCTTAATGTGGGGCTTCTGGCTGAGTCCGTCCCTTCTCCCCTTCTTTCCTGAGCTCAGAGCACGTCCCTTTCCGGGCAGTTCTGGTAGGTGGTGTTTGCTGTGGTCCCTTGTGTTCCTCAGTTGGCTTAGGAGAACACGGCCCTGGTTCTGAGCTTGTCATGGAAGTGTTGGTCAGAGGAAAAGAGCAACGGGGAAGAGAAAGAAGCGTTGCAAAAAGAGAAGTTTGGAAAGAGTGTGATAGGGATATTCCAAGCAAATCTTTAAGGAGTGCAGGGGGTTTGTGCTGCTTCTCCTGTAGAAAACACTGGAAATAATTATGTATCTCTCATCTGAAGAGGCTTCTTATCTGACCCTGAAAAACACAAGCTCATCGTTGTGTTTTCTCTCCCTCAGAGACTCCTTCAGCAGGATGAGCCTTCGCAAAATGGATATCTAAACGAGTTAAAAACCAAAATAAAAAAGCACTTAAAAGTAAGGTTTTGAAAAGAAAGAGCCTTGTTATCAGCGCTGGGAATCAAAGAAGTTTTATTGTGAAATAAAACTTGGACTTCATCCTGGACTTCCCACACACCTCCTCCTCCATCAGAGTGTTCAGTGGCCAAAACAAATCATTCTGAATTGTCAAATGTAGACTTACTTTATCCATGTTTGAGAAAAAAATCCAAGTGGTATCCAGAGTATTGGTGATAAGCTGTAAAGTTACCTGTTTTTTAAGGCATTTTTATGACTCAAAGGTACACTTAACGCATTTACCTTTATTTATAATAGCATTCTCTAATGTTAAATTTATTTACTTTTAGTTCATATATTTAATTTATATTAGGACCATACGCAAATGCATTTTTGAAGTTTTTAATGTAGTGATGATGGTTATTTTGATGGTACTATTAAATATGTGAATGTTTACACTTTAATTCCCTGTGCTGAATTGGACTTCAGAGCTCACCATCCTTGGGGAAGCTTTTCACAACGAGGTAAGTCTTTACTAACACTTCTTATCCAAGCTGTGATTGTTGTACTGTTCCTGCCCTTTCTTCTTTGTAACTGAATACAAATTGCTGCTAAGGGAAATAATTCCAGCTGTCACCATCAGCAGAATCAAGGCACACCTTGCTGGTGCTGCACCTCTCTTGGTAGCTGTGAAGGAGAATTCCAGCACCATCACTGCACACACCAACTAGAAGTCCAACTACAGTAACCCAGTGTAGTGTCTGTGCAGTTCAACTCAGCCACTTGCAGTTAGGCTGCTTCTTCTGGCCCTTTTTCAGTTTAAAAACTAATTTCAAGACAAGAACAAAATGATAAAGTAGATGAAGTGAGTCATGAGCGTACATGGGCAGCAGTCGTCGCGTTGTTAATTGTGTGATGAAAGGATCTGTTGTAAGGCAGTGATTTTGGTGGCTGACACAGAACTTCGAGGAAATTGATCTCCAAGTTGGAACCAACCCTACAGCCACTCAGTCTGGGTGTCTTTTTTCCCCTCCGCATTGAAGCAGGTCCCTTGGGAGGCAGGGCAGTGGTTAACTGCAGCTCGCTCACTCTACATAAACACCTAAACAGCCACACAGAAATATGCATGCGTAGGTGACAAATAAAAACATACTGCTATGTTGGTGAGAATAACAAGAAAAAAACTATATGTAACTTTCAGACAGGAGCCCTTAAAGTTGCAAACACAATTATACAGTCACCGTTCCGTAGTTGTAGGAGTTTGGAGCCTGACATGGGTTTTCTGTTGGCTTCTGCCGTGCACAGTCCCAAGGGGTTGCTGGATGTCTTTGGGGCCACATTAAATGTAGGACAGCAGCCACTGGGGCAAGTTAGCTCTTCAGGAAGGCAGAAAGTAAGTGCTTCCTTTGAATAAATCCCAGCAACAAGAAAAGACCATGTTCTATGTATGTCTTTATGCCTTTTCCTCACCCAACTGTAGGAACAACATAACTTTTATTTTCAGGCTGAAATTCAGCAAGCCCCCCATTGCAGTCAGGAACAATTTATAGCAGGCAAGGTAAGCTTTCAGTTCTATTTTGCTATTCTCTTTAATGTGGATACTCATTTTAGACAATGAAATTATTTGGTATGGTTACAGTGTCTCATGGCATTTGTAATTCATCTCTGCAGTAATTACCAGACAGCTGTTCAGCAGGAGTTGAGTCCAGCCCTTACTGCAGCTTTCTGTTGGAAGCACAAGTTTCCTTGCTGCATAACTCTAAATCAAACCTGTACAAAAAGCAGAGGTCCATCAGAACAGATGCACCAATGTGACTTTCATGAGTTCTCTCAGTGTTTATGTTACAGTGTAATAAAAGATTGTCAAAGAACAAGGCACTGGAGAATAAACTAGGTGCAGGGTTCTAGGGCTTTCCTTGTAAGTTAGTCATCTTGTATTTGAAAAAGCTTAAACAGACCCTAAAAACCAGGGCATACTCACATGTTGTGCATCTCCCTTATCTGTCTCTGCAGCAGCACTTCATGTCATTCCATACAGTGCAGCAGTGACACCAGCACATTGCATGCCATACAGTTTTTAGTTCTCTGCAACTTACAGGATACTGCTTAACCTTGTAGCATGCAATATGTGACCTGGGATTGTTTCATCTCTACTACCTTGTGTCAGACATGCCATTTCTTTTCACAGTAAACTCATTTCTCTTCCCCTTGCCTCCAAGCCTTACTTCTAGTCATCAGGTCCCTTCCCAGCAGGGCATGCTATACAAGAACCAGATAACAGCAGGGCATGCTCTTTTCTAAAGCACTCCCTCATCATCTCTTTCATTCAGATACTTTCCCAGCCTTTTTTGGTAATGATGCCCAACCACGTCCCCTCTTTCCTGTCCCAGCACAGAAGTCTGATCTAGTCATCTCCAATGCATACCATATTGTTCTTCTTTTATTTCATATATACATTCTCAACAAAGCATCAAGCCAAATGTTTTCATTTTCCCACCTTCCAGTGAGCTTTAAGTACAAATTAACTGTTATATGTTCACCACTAAACTCCAAATCCACCCAAACAGATATGCATATTAAAGGGCTTTCTTCTTAGGAAGTACAAAAGTATTTTAATTACACTACACACTCTCTGTTTGGAATTATTAATCACACCTATTTACACACTTTGCCCATTTAACATCAATGCAACAAGATGCAAATTAGACCATTCAAACATTCCTGTTAAGTTCAGTTCTCTTTTTTTAACGTGAACACTCTTTTCTTGTGCTTGGAGATGCACAGAGCAGTATTAGAATTGGCTAAGGAGCATTTTGTCAGTAAACCACATAGATTACTCAAGGACTATATATGAAGTATTACTTCCCAAGTTACAAAAATACACAACTTCTGATGAAACTTGCTAGTTAATATACATTTAGTCCAGAATATGAATACAAATAACTTTTATTAAAAAAAAGCTAATAATACAAGAGGCATGTCTGAGAACTAGAGCTGTGTTAAAACCCCACTACTGTGTATTGTAGGCATCCTTTAGGAGCTATACAAACTGGTATTTCTAAAAGGTAATATCACTATTCTCCAGCATAAAAGTTACTAGGTGAGTTAAGTTCTACGTCACGGTTTATGAATTCAAGTTGAGCCACTTACACAATGCAAAGAGCAGAAATGTAGGATCCAGTAGCTTCAAAGACAAACATCTGTTTCTTCCAAGTAGTTCTGATGCAAACCAGACACCAGGTGTATGCGAGTCCTTAATATTTACAGTCAAAATACAGTATCACTCTACAATTTTCTTATAAAACAGTAGGTAAGGAGTTGATGTAGACGCCGACGTGGGAGAAAGAGAATTCAGGAAGTCCTTTTCCTCTGTAACTTTCACTTCAGAATCATCGAAAAGCAACCATTTCCCCTCGTACTCTTTCAGGCTCTGCAGGACATACAAAGCTTTGTTTTCCAGTCCACTGAAAGCAACCCCGTTCTGATGGCCGTGCTCAGTGCTGCACTCCACACTTCCGTTAGCAGGGGCGGACTCGGGATTTCTGTTCTCAGTAACTACATTGAGAACCTTCTCGCTGTTTGCTGGTCTGTTGTACAGGTCACAGTCAGACTTGCTCTTCTGTCCCCCAAGAAGTCCGACAGCTTCCATGTTCTTTTTGTTCAGAACTTTACCTGGCTGCGCATTGCCATTGACTCTGAAAGAGACTTCACCGTTGTCGTAGTCTTCAGCAACAGTTCTTGCTTCCTCCTCATTCAGTGGCTCTGGTTTAATCGTTTCGCACGTTTGGGCGGTGATGAAGTTTCCCTTGTCTAACTCGAGGCTGTTGAGATCTGTGATTTTGACAGAAGCTGTGTAGTGTCCGCTGCTAATTGTAATGCCACTGTGCATCACCACTGCAAATAAGCCATAGGTGTCATTGGTTGGCTTCGTGCTCCATTCTTCCAGCGACAGTTTGAGCGGCGTCAGTAAGGGAGTGTTTATCTTCGATAGTCCACCGTAGCAGTCAAACCTTCAGAAGAAAAACAAAGTTAGAGCCCTTGCTGCTCCCAGCACGCAGCACGTAATGCTTTCAGTGCCCAGGCATCGAGTCTGCTTTCTCATACCAGAGACACACAGCAGAACTGCAGTGAGAAGCTGCTCACATTTCTACTTGTTTATCGCAAGCATCTGTCCCAGGCAGCCCTGTTCACTGAAGGCATTTTGACAAGTAAAGATATTGTTAAACATGACAGCTCCATAGCTGTGGGTTTTCACTACATAAGAAACTCTCTTTGTGAAAACTACCAGCTACAATAAGCATCCAGTAGTGAGAAGTGAGCTCTTCATTGCATGGTTATCATTCATGCTTCTGGGATTGCATTTCCTTGCAGACATTGACCTGCTGATCAGAGAACATTCATTCCAACATCCAAGGGACAGAGCAAGTTGTTTTGCTTCCTCCCACATGTTTATAGAAAAAGATAGCAATAAAACTATACATTCTGTTATTCCTTTCAAGTAGCTTAGCTGTCACTCAAAGACTGTTTTTACTGTAGTAAATACAAGTGACAGATTCCTAAGGATTATTAAGTTAGTAACTTATTGCCAGGAACCTCTCATTAACTGCCTTACCTTAATCAGTTTCTTTAAACAATTCTACCTGATTTAGTTGGGGAAAGCATCTTGTATTCCACAGCTATTGAACAATTGTTCATAGTTCACAAATACACAAGGAGAAAAGTTTCAAGTCCTTTCATTGTAATAAAGAACTTTTGAAGAATTCGGAGGTGTTGGAACTTCATCACCTCTTTTGCATTACTGCATATAACCTGAGCTTATGTGATTGATGTACTGCATCAGCCCAACATAATTAACCTCTTTATTTAATGATGGTGTCCCAGTAGATTCAGTCCCAGGTCCCAGTAGATTCAGTCTTTCTCAGCTGTAAAGATTTTATAGGGAAAAAGAGTGCAGAATGCAAACCAAACCTGAGCTTACAAAGAGCTAATTACAATTGTCCAACCTACGCTTTACTGTGAGAAACGATGATCACAGAGTTGTAGGGGCTGGGATCTCCAGAGATCAGTGAGTCCAGCCCCCTTGCAAAGCAGGCCCCCTACAGCAGGCACGGTTGCTACTTTTAATCCCAGGAAAACACAGGACATTACTGAAGTCACAGGATATTACTTTTGTTTTACAGGGTTTTGATCTTGATTCTGCCATGCTTTTAACAGTTTTGCTGATGTTCACCACCATAAACCCTTGTACACAAATGCACGTAGACGTGCACAGATGCGCTCAGTCACTCAAGTCTGATCAATTCCAATCCCTCCTCACCTTAGGTGCAGGCTCACCATGAACATTTCACTGCACCGAAAGAAACAGAAGGGTGTATCATCAGAATTAATACAGTGTGAGTCTTCTGAAAGGCAGGAAGAGGTACTCAGAGGAGTCAAGGAACAGGAATCGCTTACAGATGCTCCAGGATCAAAAATCCAGGTCCAGTGGAGCTCACAGGACAACTACATTACCCTAAAGCATTAGCAAGCAGGCTTTACCTTTCTTCTGGACAAGACCCAGCATCAGAAAAATTTGAAGAGGAGCAAATAAGAGAGATCTTCTCACATTATCTTTTCACGTTAGCTTTTGATCTTCTTAATAAGAATCTGAAGACAAGAATGGCGTGCCAAGTGCCCTGCCTCCTCTGGCTCAAACACAACAAAAGCAACTTTGCAACTCCGCCTTTTGGAGCTATGAATCAGTGGAATTTCTCTTACTGTGTTGAATCAGTGCCTCACATTATCCCAGACCTTGAAGGCGTAAATCAATCTTATTGCAGCTATCCTAATCCACAAGACACTGGACAACCCAAATACAGATTCATAATGGTATCAGCATTGCTCTTGCTAATTAGCAAGTGCAACTAGAAAACTTTAGGGTCAGACGTTATTAAAAGAGGAAAAACCGATCAGTGAACCACCTTACACAGCCTGCTACCTCTCACTTCATGGCTCTCTTGTGAGCTCAGGTCTGTTTGCAGCCAGTCCCAGTGTTTTCCCTCCCCGCCCTCCCCAAACAATTACTCAGCCCCAGGCTAGCACATTTTCACAGTGGCTGCTTTATTGTTAAAGAATCACTTTGCAAACCACCCTCTAATAAGGGAGCAAAGCCCTGCCAACAGCAAACATTTACTTATCAGCGCTTTCTGTTTCATTTCTTATTTAAAACTCAATTGTCCTGAAACTCTGTAGATCACAACCGAGGAGGTTTCCAACAGAGAACAGTTATGTGAACATTCTCAGTTGAAGAATGTTAGTTTAAGGCAAGAAGAGTTTGTTACTGCTTGTAGGACAGACTACTGCAGTCTCATCTGGGGAAATCAGTATTGTTACAATAAACATTACCAGTTTACCTAAGCAAACTTGGGAAAGCTCCATCAAAGCTTTCAATTCCAAACACACTGTAACAGCAGTAACTTCATGTGCTACAGTGTTTTTGTTTACTATCCTTGGCTCTTCTCCACCTGATTTGCAGCGGTGCTTTATTACTCCAAATCAAGATGTTCAGACATGCCACTGTTTTGTCCAGAGTAAAATGTCCAAGCCAAAAACCAAGAAGCAATCTTCTACAGTTTCAGCTTCATCACTGTCTCCAGGACTGTGTCTGATTGTCCACTCTGACTTCCTTAACCTCTGGCTGCCAGCACTTGGCTGGAAATGCAGGACATGAGTAAAGGGCACAGGAAGACCACAAGAGACTGCATACAGGTTTTGGACTTCTGAAGCAAGGATTTGAAGGCTGCCAGGACAGGAGAGGTAAGCAACTCAGCATGCTGCTAGGGAACCTGCAAGCTCCAGGTACTTCTCATAGAAGCACAGCAGCAGATGTAGGAACAAAGTGAAGAGAACAGCCAGGTTTTCTCTCAGTGAGCATCTCGAGTTGTATTTTTTGAATAACCTCATCACACAGCCACTCCATCTGGCATCAAAGCTACTCAGTAGCAACGTGACACCTTCTGACAGGTGCACAACCTAGTTGGCTTGTTCTGCTCTGCTTGTTGTGAGTGTTACTACACTAAACCACCTATGTTCTATGTTACAATCCTGAAATTGTGGGAAGAAAGGGAAGGAGCCCTTATAGAGATTAAGTTTTCCTTCTGCCTTGTCAGAAAGATACTCCTAACAACCGCTACTAATTCCACTTTCAACAAATCATAACAAACCACCCGTAAAAAGTAACTATATTCAAGGATTATATTAAGCTATTTCACAAACCGTGTTGATGCTGACCTCAGTAGAACTTGTTCTAAAGCGCCCTGCAGCTAATCACTGAACTCCTATTTGCTATGTGTCAAGTGCCAAAGGTCCCATACACTTCCAGTACAAGATTTCTCTTCCCACAGCAGTTTAGTAATAGAGTGTATTGGCATACTCACTCTAAGCCACTAGCAGCAAAGCACTTCAAATGAATTGTTATAACTTCAGGCATTTTATCAAATAAAAGGCTGCGCTCTGCTTCTGTGTAATGATGGCAGTTCTCGCAGAAGTATTTGTCCTCTCCCACAATCCTTTCCACGGATGCAAACTGTGAAATTGCCCACTTCAGAGTCTTCATTTCTGTTTTTGGCTCTGGAGAAACTGAAAGAGAATCATTACATTCACAGATACGCTATTACTTACATTTCCAAGGAATCCCACCAGAATAAAACCAAAACAAGATGGCATCAAGTTCTGCTGCGTTCCATAACTGCTAACAACACCGTAAAGAATCCCCAGTACGTGTGAAACAAAGTGCACTCAGCTCTCCCAGTCATTTCAGGAAAGGATGCAGGCACCACTTAATGGATACGCTTACTTATAACATACAGGCTTCCCAAATCTTGTCTTCAAGATGTGTGTACTGATCCCACTGCCACGTCTAGAAATAAGGCACATGTGTTTGAGACCAAGATTTTATTCCCTACAGGAAGCTTCCAAAATAATCAGGCAGCTCCCTTCCATTTCTTGCATCTCACCCCCCTGACAGCCTCCCCATTAATGAGGTCAGTGGGGAAGGCAAAAGGAGTGGGAGCTGCTCTGAATCAAGTCCACGAGGACTAAAGGTGATTTATTTAGAATTCAGAACATCACAATGTAACTGCAGCTGCACTTACTGCTTATCTTAAAACTAAGTATGGATCACTACCAGCTGTGGAACACACCAGGGGACATTTCCCACAGTGTTAAGGCAAGAAGTAAGTCCAGAAGTAATGAAAAATATCAATTCCTGAAGTAAATTTCATTTATTTTAAGAAAAACGCAAGTATTTCTTCCACTTATCCTTCAGTTTAAAATAATCTTTTATCAGGGAAGGGCAGACCCAGATAAAAAGTAAATGCCTGATTATAAGCAGGAAAACACATACATGAGTAAGGACTGTAAGCTGCCTGTTGCCTTTGGAGACCTGAGGCAACTTCAATACAGTCTGGATCCACCTATGTTATCAGTGCTGTGTTTGCAAAGTCAGAAGTTAATCAGGACAAGAGATAACAGAACAACCTCTGGTGTTAACCAGCACAAACAAGAGCAGTGTTCCTTGATAAACACAGCACTGTCCTCCCTCTACAGCCATCTGAAGCAGAAACACCAATCCCCCTTTTTGATACTTACTTTCAGAACTTTCTTCACTTTTAGAAAGTTCATCTTCTTGCACCGGAACACTGATGTCCTGAAAGTCCTCTCTTCTCTCAGTAAAGCACTCGCACTCCAAGCATCGTGTTCTCAGTACTAACTGGCCCTGGAACAATTTCTCCACTAGTTCAAAAACAGCCAACTCTGTACCTAGAGAAAGTATATGCCAGATCACTTACCAACGTGTGTTTTATTCAAAAGATACTAAAAACCTGGCTATTGTTCATGGCAAATCGAGTGTTACAGACACAGTGCCTTAGGGATTCCAAAAAGCTGCTCATCACGTGTGGTTTTCGGAGTATCAGAGAATCAGCATAGAATCATCACAGAATCACAGGACAGGTGTGCTGGAAGGAGCCTTAAAGCCCTACTGCACCCCTTCCCTCAAGAGCTGTGTTCTCCTGTTGACACTAACAAAATCCATACCTGTCAGCCACTTTGCCTACATCCTACAATAGGGAGCTACAGACAGAATACTGCTTGTAAGGACACAAATCCGTAGCCCGTAGGATTTCATTTTGTGTTCTCCTTTAAATAACATTCTTTTACGTTTTTAATTCCCTTCCTATTTCTAGAGATGACAATCATTAGTAAGAATATTAGTGAGAATATAAACCTGGTAATATTTTTTTACCTTGAACAGCGATTACACGATGTTAGAAAAAGACCTTTTATAATCTAAGCTAAACAAGTGAAGGTATAAAATGAAAGTTACAAACATGCAAAAATAAATTCATAAAAATAATTTTCAATTCCTGAAAATGTAACTCCATGCTTAGAGAGCTCTGCTTGCAATGCAATCTGAAGGTTGACTTCCAGTGCACAGTAATTTCCTAACCATGCTAATTTTAAGCCCGTTCACTTGTTCACCAACCTTCCTTTTTTGGTTCTTTTTCAGTTCCTTTTTCACTATGGCTTTCCACAGGAGATGTTGGTTCGTGACCACCTTCTTTAACATCGTTACCATTTTCACACTTGGCAGACGACTCTCCAAGCTCACAGTCATCGTACTCTTTCACCGGGTCTTTGGATCCCAAATTTGTAGTTAACTTCCCCAGACTATAAAATTTGGACAGAATACTTGGCTGTTTGCACGAGGATTTTAACCAGTTTAATTTAAGTCGTGACTTCTTCTGTGTTGGCTTTGCGCTCTCGTTCTCAGTGGAACACTTGGCAGTGGCATCAGTTTGATTCTCTAGCTTTTCCCCCGTTGCTTTCCTCTTTGACCTGGTTTGTCTTTGATTTTCTTCTGCTGCAATTTGTTCTTTCGATACTTTGGACTTTTTCTTTGCGTTGCCACCTTCAGCATCGCTTTTTCTCTTCCCATTTCCTTTGGGCAGCTTATCTTCAGCCACCTCTCCCCCGTGGCTACTTGCTGTGTTCTCCTCCTCCTCGGCAGAGTGGCCAGTTCCATTGCTCTCGGAATTTTGATTGATTTTTTCCTCCACTTTAGCTTTGGGCTCTTCCAAGGGCAGTTTATTCAGTTCTTCCTTCTTCAGTAGCTGACACGTTTCTTGAATATTACCAAGGATGCACTGCAGAACTTCCTGGGCATCGTGCTGCAAGTAGCCTTCGTACATAGGGTTGAGCTCTCTATTAAAGGTAAATAAGTACCAAAGATGAGCTGATCTTTACTAGAAAACGTGGCCAGAGACGTAAATTAGGAAACCTTTGCTATAAAAGCAGGGGGGGAATCCTCTCTGCATTTAAAGAGAAGCCCTTTCTGGCACAAATACCCATGGGGAGGCAGTTACAGCCTTAAACATAAAGGCATTTAAACATGCATTCAGTTGCAACCCAGCAGTGGTACTTCTCAAGTCAATGAGAATGCTTAAATACTTCAGAGGAAGTACTGCTTAAAATCTACTGCTGGGTTTCAATTCTATTCTTACAAAATCTAAACTTACTTCCAAACTTATGATACCATAGAGGCAGCAATAAACACAAACCTCCTCCTCTGAAATGTACAACTTCCTTTGTATAATCACATAACAATGCCCCAAATCTACAATTATCTTCTCCCTTCCCACCCAGTTCTCTCCTGCCATACTGTACTGTTATAATGATGCCAAAACTTTAGGTGAAGATTTGGTGTTTGTTTGAGATAATTTGTACCTAAGGGTGTTCAGCAGCCTTCGTGGCTGAGTAGCAAGTTCATCAGTGTATTTCTCTGGGTTTAAAAGAAAGCTGGCTTGAAGCTGTTCAACAGAAAGAATCAACGAGTGCAAACTGCAGATCAGTTCATAACTTGCCAGGGGATCTTCTTTACAATTTCCCTGCAATGAGAATGAAGACACGTGCAGCTTTGTGTCTAACAAGCAGTTATGGCAAGTAGCCCCCACTTAGTTATCCAACAAACACTTGACAGATTTCTTTTTTCCCCACAATGGGAAACAGGTGAGTTTAGATCAATACACTGCTCTTTCGACAGCAGAAAAGAAACATGAAAGCCACAGTATGAACTTTAAAAGCCCAAGCTATCTTTGCCCGCAGACATAAGGTATGGTAATTTTAACGGAAATTAAACCAGTTCAGCCTTGTGCTTACAGGTTTACAGATGCTTTGAACACAAGTTTAAAACTACTCAAACCTTTTTTTACCTGAAATAGTACAGAAAACAACACTGCCCAACTTCTTAAGAGCAGAAGAAAACAGTTCAATTTTGAGAACCTTCCTGGCACACAGCCTCACCTGCACTGTTACATGGAAATGGAGGTGTACTGAGATGTGTTACCTTTTCTGCTTTTAGCTCTCCTTCATCCTTCAACGATTCTTTCTTCTTTGAAATGATATTATATAAATGTTTGACTCCCGTTTTAAAACCAGGACAAAAATATAATACCTAGAAGCAACAGTGGAAAACAAGACAACAATTGGTAAACCCAGTTATTCAACGTTACATCTCCATGCTTAGGACCCAGCCAGCTCTGCATCTCCCAAGGCTGCTGCTGCACAGTACATGGGATTACTCATGGCAGGGAGGTGGCCCGAGTATGTAAACTGACAGATGACTCAATCACAGCAATCTATGGTGCACACACTTCCTGTGGTATCACTTTTCTTCCCCTCGCTGTAATTAGATTCCCTTTGTACAACATCCGGACATCTCCTCTATAATGTCAGACTAGGAAACCCATCCACTTGCACAAAAGCAGAACAGTGTGATATTTTTTGAGGCCCCAGAATGTGATCTTACCTGAAGAATGCTGTTAAGGTAACAGGTGTTGCCAAGATTATTCAAGCCCACAAAGGGCAACATGTTGTCCTTCTTCTCACAGCTGACAAGTGAGGGAGGCTGTGCTGCAGGAACAACCTGGTCACTGTCAAACAGAGAAAACAAAGCATAAGAGATCTGCCTGGCACACACACACACACAACTCTCCTAGCCTCTACCATGTAGGTTATGGAAGATAAGGAGACAGCTTACAGAATTAATGATTAATACCCAGATGAAAACCGTGTCACAGTGTTTCTGAGTCTCCTTGGGGCTCCTCCAGCAATCTGACAGGCTTACAGGAGCACATACTTACTACTGCATGCACTTCCAACGCCTGCCCTACGAAACAGCCCACGAGCCTGACTGAACAACTCATCTAAGATCTCTTTCAACTACTTTCGCACACTCTTCATTCATTCGCAAGACAGCATCAAGAAAAAGCATCCACTGCTTATTTCCCATTGCTCCAAATCCACATTGCTTCATTACTGGACACATACCAAGAGGATAAACAGCTGAATAACTGAACCAAGAGGATAAACAGCTGAACAACCGAACCAACGACCCTCTGGTAACACAACAGAGCCGGGCCTTAAACCCTTCACCACCATACCTCGCTATAATCAGGCCATTTCTCCTCTCCCCAGTGGAACTTCCCCCCCGGGCTGTGCTGAACAGAGCCGATAGGCGCTCAGGGCCGGGAAGCTCGCTGTGTGGCAGCAGGGACTGCCGCTTCCAGCCACGCCAGGAGCAGCCCGAACGCCCAATATCCTTTCACTAAGACCACAAGTTGCATTTTAACACGCTTTAACTAACTCGGCACGATCGAAAGAAGAGAACTTTCTTCCAGCATCACAACTTTGTGCCAACGGAACGCTCGCGGCACCGCAACCTCGGCCGGGAAAGAGGGAAACGGCAGCAGGCACAGAGCGGGATCCCAACGGGCAGCACCCGCACCCCTACGTACATCTCTGCGCCGCGGAGCTCCGCGCCCTTCGGCTCATTCTCCGGCGGCTCGGTGAAATCCAGCGCTCTCTTCGCCTCTTTCTTCTGGAAAAGCTTCAGCGATAGCCGGTTCTTCCTGGACGGGCTGCCCCGCGGCGGCGCGCTGCCGTCGCTCGGGAGCACCCCCGGCATCTCCGGGCGGGCGGCGGCGGGCGGCGTGGGGCGGCCACCTGCCACACACACACACATACGCACACACACGGCGTCACCGCCGCCTCGCCCGGCCCTGGCTGCCGCCTCACCCCTCCGCCCGCCGCCCCGCTCCCTCCCCGCCGCCCTCGTGGCCCCACCGCCCCGCAGGCCGCCGGGCCGGGCCCTCCCGACGCCCGGCCGGCACGGACCGGCGGACCGCGGCCGCTCTCCTCACCGCTACATGGTGCCTCCGCCCGGGGGCCGCCGCCGGTTGCTATGGAGACCGCACGGGGCGGCCCGGCGCCGCTCGCTCCGCCACGGGAAACTTGGCGCGTTTTCCGCGCCGTTAGGACCCTCGCCCGCAGCCCTCCTCGCGCCCAAGCGCCCGCGGCCGCCTCGCACAAACGCCGGAGCGGAAGCCGGGGACGGCGCTCGCCAGGATCGAAGAGCCATGGCGGCCGGCGGCGGCCCGCCTCCCGGCGGCTCGCGCGGGTCGAGAGAGGCCACGGCAAGGGCCCGATCGGCGGCACCGACGCCGCCCGTCCGCCGCTTCCGTCAGGCAGCACGGCGGGCAGCCCGCGGGGTCCTACCCGTGCGCGCGCGGGCGCCGCTAACGGCGCGGCCAAGGGCCCAGGGCTCGCGAGGGGGAGGGGCGGGAAGCGGGCGGGCCGAACCACTGCGCAGAAGTAACCCCCCCCCTTCGCGGCGGTGGATTGGTCCGGGCGTAGTCCCGCCTCTTTCCGTCTCCGCCAATCACAGCGGGCGGCGCGTGACCCCTCGCGGCGCAGTTCGAACGGAGCTGAGTAACGGCCGCTGCGAGGCGGGGCGGGGCGGGGCGGTCTCGTCTCCTCTCAGCGCTCCGTCGCACCGCGCCGCTGGGGGTCGGCGTCCGCTCCTCTTCCACATCCATGCAGTAACACGTCGGCCTCAGTGTTTTTTTCCACATACAACATAGCAGTCCCACAAGCTTTGTTTCCTTCTCGGAATTACGAACTGGATGCATGAAGTTTGCATCCCACGATGCTCGGTTTGGTTTTGCCCCACGATGTCAGAAACGTTTGAATCTTTTGATGTGAGAACTGAGGAGCTCCATGTGGCAGTGACACCTGTAGGCACTGGGCTGACTTAACGCCCCCCAAAGAGCCCCCCACACCAAGGCACAATTATGTCTGTGACTCCGCTGGAAAACGCCTGCAAAAAAAGTCTGAGTTTATCAGCAAGAGATTTTGCAGGATTTGTTTCATAACTGACTTTAAGCCATGCTCAGATCCTGGCTGTATATCCACCCCAATTTTCAAAAGGTTTCAGTCATAGAATCACAGAAACACCAAGGGAAAGACCTACAAGATCGTCCCGTCCAACCATCACCCATCACCAGTAGTTCTCACTAAACCACATCCCTCAACACAACATCCAAACATTCCTTGAACACCTCCAGGGTCGGTTCTCCACAGCCTCCCTGGGCAGCCCATTCCACTGCCTGACCACTCTTTCAGAGCAGTTGGAGAAGTCAGTTTTAGAGAAGCCCCCCAGGATCCCAATCCACCCCCAGCCCGCATCCCTCAGTGCCACATCCCCCACGGCTCTGGGACACCCCAGGGATGGTGACTCTTGGCAGCCTGTGCTGGTGCACTGCCACTCTTTCAAAGAAGAATTTTTCCATAATACCCAGCCTGAACCTCTCCTGGCACAGCGTGAGGCCATCACCCCTCATCCTGTCTCCATCTCCACCCTCAAGGCTACTTTTCCACCTCAAGATCTGCAGGAGACTGCACTGCACCTCTTTGCCAGCCCTTCAGCCTGGCACGCGTTTCTTTGCACCCTCCCTTATCTGGCTCGCTGTCATGAGTTAATGCAGGGAAGTCCTTCCAGCAGGATAGTGCCGGAATGGATCTGTTTAAATGCAAGAAAATGGCTTTCTTTTCTATATCTCTCCAGAAATAGAGCAACAGCTAATTAAATATTTATGGCAGCTCAGCAAGCTCAATAAAGAGGCTGTTGTCCAGAGCCTGTGCAGCTCGGTCCTTTCACAGTAAAAGAGTTTCAAACACAGCCCAAAGAGGGAGCAGGTGTGAGAGGCCGTGGTTGCAGACCTGAGACACTCAAATGCATGAAGTTATGTCTAATTCTACAGGTTTTGCAGCCACATGTTATAAAAATGACTGCAGTGGGAAACTAGAAATCTCCACAGACTCAGCCAAAAATAACCACGTGAATGCCTGGAAAGAATGGATTCCCAGGAGATGGGATTTGGGGGCTTTGGAGGAAGTCTCCATTACAGAGCACTGTCCCCTGCAGGGAGAAAGCCCCACAGCCTCTGCTTGTTGCTGAGTGACATGAGTTATAGCCTTGCAAACCTTGGGGCTGTATCAGGCTTATAAATCTGCCCGGTTCCTGTACTGTCAGAATTACTCTGAATTTTGTGAACATTGGTGAACTGTGAGCAGACAATGTGCTCTTTCAGCAGCCCCTGCCTCAGTCCCTGGGGTCACCTGGGGACCTCAGCGCAGGAACACCAGTAACCTGCCCCAGCCCTGCAGTGCTTGTACCAGCAAAATTGATTTCAGTCTATAGCAATACAGCTCTTGGTCCAATGCCTTACGGCAGGAAGTGTAAGAAACCATTCACAAACATGAAAATACTGAATATAAAATTTGAAGACAGACTGGGTTTTTTTGGTAGGGGTGGTACAGATGAATATTTAGGGTGACCCTGCCCCCATTCACAACCAGACTGAAGCATGGAAACAAATCATCCAAGGCACTTGGCTGCCTGGGAAAGGAAATCTGGCTTCCCACAGTCACCAGCCTGGGGCCCTCTGAGCCTGCAGACGGCTCCCATTCCGTAAGATCCTTTGTTCTTTCCGAGGTTCCCAACCCACCTCGGTGATGGGATGCCTCCACCAGCCCCAACCAGCAGGGCTGGCAGGAGGGGAACCCCCTCTGCAGCCTCCTCCATGGGAAACCTGGCCAAAAAGTTTGGCCTGAGTGTGCGGCCAGACGTTGGAGGAAAGCCTTCAGATTAGGCATCCTTACAGATATAGGAAAAGCAGGAAATAATAAATCAGAGCTTGCCACAGCCCTGTAAACTCCGTGGTGAAGCCTGCAGTGAGCTCCTCTTTGTTCAAGCTTCCACACGGCAAACTTCTGCTGTCAGCCTGAACCACAGCACATGAGCACAGAACGAGCTCTGCAGCAGTGCTCTCCTCTGTGCTGCAGAGTTTGTAATTGCTGAGATGGAGATCTGTTTCAGGATACTCACAGCCTTCACTCTCATTTCTCTCTCTTAACCTGGGACAAAGCACAGCTGGATGAAATCACTGAACTCTTCAAGTTACACATGCAGCTATTATACCAGAGAAAATAGTAATTACCCCCACAGCATAGAGATAAAGCAGATTAGATAGTAACCATATCAGTATCTGCCTTTGTGCACTGAAAATCTGCGCAGTGTGGAGGGCTCTGCAGGTAGATCCAAGGCAGAACATTTTTTCCATGCATCTTTCTGAAAGTTCAGTTTGGCACTGTGGAAAGAATGATGTTCCGTAAGCAGTCTCACTGCTTGCTTAGGGGTTTTTCCCCCCATCTTATTTTCTGTCTGGGCATATTTTATTTCACCATGTGCAGCTTGCTGCTCAGATTAATGTAACATATGGCTCCACAGCCTCACTGGTAGCAGAGGAAGTGCAGCTTTCCATTGTGGGCTGGAATTCAAATGAAAAGCCAGGTGCTGTATTACAAACCGTAATTAAAATAAAATGAAAATCTCTCCCTGATTGTGTGTAAGTTGGGATAGCACCTCCCAGAGCTGCAACATTTCAGAAAGCAGAAACCAAAGCTTCAGAAGATCCCAACGCTGTGCAGCCGTGCACCATCTGCTGGCCACATCCCTGCAGACACACACACACACCTCGGATTGATTCCATCAGCCTTCTCAACGTGGATGGTACCTCCACATTTACAGAGGTGAGGCCCTCCCTTACACAGATCTTCTCTTTATTTTTAAATCAAACTCAATGTGCTTCTTGCTGGAAACAGGGAGCTGGAGCAGAACGAGCGATGCTTGTCAGGTTCCCGGCCCATCCCAGACAGTATATATTCAAATCGAACATGGTGCTTTGTTCCTATCAGAAATACCATGCTTGAGGGAAGCAAGCTGAATCATCCTGGCACAAGAACTTCATTAAGATGCTAAGATTTGCGGTAATTGAACAGATCAATACAATAGGAAAGGCGTTACAACAAAGGTGCAATGACAGAAGGACCAGGGTGAGAAAGAGGTACTAAAAAGGAAGATTGCTTACCCATATCAGAAGATTCTAGGTTCGCAGAGGAAAGTTTCACCAAGAAGAGATCTCCAGGGTGGCAGTCAGCCCTTAAATGAGGTCTGAGAGAGGTGCAGCCAGGCTCCACCCCTTCTGGTCACACATTGCCTTCACCTGTGCTCCCAGGGCTGAGGGGGTCTTTTCACCAGGTGCTCCATCAGTGCTTCAGGCTGTGACTCAGCGGTTCCCATAGAAGACTTTTGTCAGGATATAAGGGAATATTGTTTACAGTAAGGGCAGTGAAGCAGTGGCACAGAGTGTCCAGAGGGGCCGTTGTGCCTCATCCCTGCGGACGCCCCAGGTCAGGGATGGGACTGAGCACTGATGGAGCTGTGGGTGTCCCTGTTTGTTGCAGGAGAGTGGGGCCAGATGGCCTTCAAAGGCCTTTTCCAACTCAAACAATTATCTGATGCTATGGTTCTACAAAGTGCGCTCACGGCCTAACATAAGCAGCATTCAGAGATTGGGGTGATGGACAGGAGCAGAAAGCAGAACCATAAAAGCAGATTTTTGAAAAAAAAAATAAAAATAAGAAGGATAATTGTACTTTATAAGATCTATTTTTATCTGAAGTAAGAATTTCCTTTTCTCTCACTAGATTTGGGGTCTGTAAATGGATGTTTTGTAGCTGACTTCCAGCTGCACCAATGCTGGCTATGCTCTACAGAGATTATGCTTGCAAAGACATAGCAATTTTTAGGCCATGGGGTTGCAGCCAGTGGATTTGACAGGCAGGCTCCTGTATTGCATTTGAACATCGTGAGAGCGATCCATGCACCACGAGGAGCAGAGACATTTCTTATCCCTACCAGTGGACCAGCACGGAGTCCAGACGAGCCCTGAGCACTGTGGTGTGTAGGGTTTGCTTGGAGTGTCCAAGGGCTGCGCTCGTAGGGAAACAGCTCAGGTGCCTGAAGTACCATGCTCAGCCTTGCGTGGTCCACAATGCCTTCCTAAAATGAACCTCTGGGTTATTGTGGGTGTCCCTGTAGCACCACGATGCTTTGTATGAGAGCTCGTTGCCTCTTC